AGTGGCTTAATAAATATTTTAATGTTGAGTACACGATGTTGGAAGGACAATGTTAAATTATTTATGCGTCCATGTGTCAGTTGTAAAAAAGGAAGCATAGATGGAATAAACTAAAAAAAGAAACACAGAATATTGAAACCTTTTTTCCTGTTGTCAAACAAGTTCCCAAACCGGTTAAGTTATTTAAAAGTAAAAGAAGATATTACACTACCTAAAAGATAAAAAAATTACTTATAAGTAAAAAAATCACTTAAAGTTATTTAAAATAAAAAACTTATAATTGTAAAAGCTACTTATAAGTAAAAAAAATATTAATCTCTCATTCTCTTATAATTGTAAAAGCTACTTATAAAAAAAAAATGTGAACTTAAAATTTTTTTAGTATAAATATTTAGATATATTTAGTTTTTAAAATTAAATATTAATAAAAGATTAAACTATCTAGAACGTAAAAAGTTACTTATAAGTAAAAAATCACTTTAAGTAATTTAAAAGTAATAAAAAAATTATAATTGTAAAAGTTACTTATAGATGAAAAATATTAACTTCAACATTTTTAAGTAAATATTTAGATAGATTTAACTTTTTAAATTAAATATTAATAAAAAAATTTACTACAAATAAAAGTAAAAAAAAAAAAAAGTGCATAAACCTCTGTGCACGGAGGTTTGCTAAATGTTTTTGTTTTTTTTTAATTTATGGTAAAAAATATTAACTTTAACATTTTTAAGTAAATATTTAGATACATTTAATTTTTTTTAAAATTAAATATTAATAAAAAAATACACTACAAATAAAAGTAAAAAAAAAAAAAGTGGATAAATCTCCGTGCACGAAGGTTTGCTAAATGTGGTTTTTTTTTAAATTTATATTTTTGTGTTCATTTTCAGGCTCATTACGGGATATCAAACGAAATCGAAATATTACATTCTTAATATTATTTTGAAATACTCGCGGCATAATATTGCACATCGTTAACGGTGCGTGAAACGGCTAATCGTAGCAAATGTTACGGAACGTCAAAATAGGCATTTTCAAACTATATTTCAAAATTTTAGATAATAAGTTAACTTTAAAAATTCATTGACGATTGTACGATAGTCGAATCGATAAATATTTTACATTCTCTCGAAACACATTTCAAGAACTATATCATAGATACATCGAATAATCTAAATGAATATCGAAAATAGTTAAACGGACATTAAACGTATGTGTGAAAAAATGCGTATAAGTCATTTTCCTTTAAAAAAAATTAATTATTTTATTACTATTTATTATTTTTTCGCAATAATTTTCTCAATACATCATTTTGCTCAAGAAAAATTATGTGGTATGACGTAAATTTTTTTCTCCATGCACGGAATGAATATGTTTTTTTTAACATTTTATTTACAATAATTTTGTTTATTAATATAATTTTAAAAATTTAAATATATAAAATATGGTTGATAATTAATAGCGTGAGAATTAGAAGAAAGAGTATGATGTGTCAGATTCAAAGCAAGGGAGAAATATTGCAGTGGACAATGGCGTGTGACAAAATTTCTACAACATTGTTTAATAGAATTTTTCCTATTACCAAACCAGTTCTCAAACCGATTAAGTTATTTAAAAATAAAAGAAGAGATTACACTATCTAAAAGATAAAAAATTACTTATAAGTAAAATAATCACTTTAAGTTATTTAAAATAAAAAACTTATAATTATAAAAGCTACTTATAGGTAAAAAAATATTAACCACTCATTCTTTTATAATTGCAAAAGCTACTCATAATAAAAAAAATGTGAACATAAATTTTTTTTAGTATAAATATCTAGATATATTTATTTTTAAAATTAAATATTAATAAAAAGATTAACTATCTAAAACGTAAAAAGTTACTTATAAGTAAACAAATCACTTCAAGTTAATTAAAAGTAATAAAAAATTATAATTGTAAAAGTTACTTATAGGTAAAAAATATTAACTTCAACATTTTAAAGTAAATATTTAGATATATTTAATTTTTTTAAATTAAATATTAATAAAAAAATGTATTACAAATAAAAGTAAAAAAGATAAAATTACATAAACCTCTGTATGCAAATAATTTTTTTTTAGCTTATGTTTCGTGTTCATTTTCAGGCTCATTACGGGATATCAAACGAAATCAAAATATTACATTCTTAATATCATTTTGAAATACTCGCGGCATAGTATTGCAAGTCGTTAACGGTGCGTGAAACTGTTAATTGTAGCAAATGTTACGGGACGTCAAAATAGACATTTTCAAACTATATTTTAAAATTTTTGATAATAAGTTAAATTTAAAAATTTATTGACGATTTTACGATAGTCGAATTGATAAATGTTTTACATTCTCTCGAAACTCATTTCAAGAACTATATCATATACACATCGAATGATCTAAATGAATATAAAAAATAGTTAAACAGACATTAAACGTATGTATTAAAAAATGCGTATGAGTCGTTTTTCTTAAAAAATCAATTATTTTATTACTATTTATTATTTTTTCGCAACAATTTTCTCAATACATCATTTTGCTCAAAAAAAATTATGTGGGCTGACGTAATTTTTTTTCTCTCCATGCACGGAGTGAATATATATATATATATATATATATATATATATTTTTTTTTACATTTTATTTACAATAATTTTGTTTATTAATATAATTTTAAAATTTAAATATATAAGATACAGTTAATAGTTAATAGCGTGAGAATTAAGAGAAAGAGCCCTACAGTATTGTTGAATAGAATTTTTCTGTTGTCAAACCAGTTCCCAAACCAGTTAGGTGTGAAAACGAGTGTGATAAAAATAAACAGTAAACTCTCATTCTCTCTTTTATGGTAGTGTAGAAATAAGTTATCTATCCTAGAATTTAATAAGCCTCCATTTGAGAAGAATTTATAAATGATTTAGCCCTTGTATGAGTCACATTATTTTTCATAAAAATGTATTTTTGAATAGTGGGTTGATTAGAAATTTGTGAATAAAAAAAAGAAAAATTTTGAATTTGTTTGTAATATTATTTTATTGAAGAACGTGTGATTGAAATAATATCAAATTACTTCTTAAGAATGTATTTTTTTCAAAGAATATGACTCAAACATTACCTTAATTTATAGATAATAAAAATAAGTGGTGAAAAAGTAGTTAATGAATTTAGAATTTATTTACTTTATAAATGAAAAAAAGGCTAATAAATGAATAATAATTGTTGGTTTTTATAAATTTTTTCTGGACAGAGGGGTTAGTTAATTTTAGCCCTTACTTGGGTTCCGTTTTATTTAAAATGTATTTTTCTATTGATTCTTTTTAATCACACTTTCTCTAATAAAAATAATATTATACGTAAATTCAAAATTTTTTTCCTTTTTAACTATACATTCTTCGAAAAAATTACTATTTTAAAATATAATTTCTCCAAAAATACGTTTTAGTGGAGTCTAAACATGGGCTTAATCTAGCCAAACAATAAGTATAGTCCATTTCAAAACTCAAAAACAAGGTTTCAAATTTTAAAAATTAGATATTAATTAAATTTTGTTTATAAAACAATTAATTAAAAATATATTTTATTAATTAAATGTATTAATAACATAATTCTATATTATTTGGTGACAAATTATCGAATTGACGGATGTCAGATTATTTCTCAATCACATCTAAAAAATTTTAGAAATCACAAACCAAAAATTTTTAAGTCAAAATTTATTCATCAATCACAAGTAAAAAAAATTATAAGTCACAATTTATTTATTTTATTTATTGATCACAAATAAAAAAATTTATAAGTCACGATTCAAACGATCACAAATAAAAAATTTTTATAACTCAAGATTCAAATTTTTAAGTCACATATTATTTATTGATCACATTTTATCATTTACATATTATTTATTGGTTAAAATCTCAAATAATTGGCCCTATATTATTTTATTGGCAACAAATTAATCAATTTATTGATCACAATAACTAAATAATTGGTCTTGGTACATTTTTATATAACCCCATCACCAACACTAGAACTACTATCTCCACCACACCACCACGACCAATCAAAAAATTCTCAAACCTACCATCATTATCGCTGTTGCCGCCAACCTGACCACCACCAATAGCCCCACCGCCACCAATCCACAACCACAGCCATCACTATCCCATCTCCATCACATCCGTCACTACTACCACACCACTATTAGCCCCCCATCTATCACACCAAAGATTCAGGCTCTTCCACCAACACCATACAGTGCATCACAATGATTGCGAATTGCAAATCGTTGCAAGGATGAAGTCATTGTAGCGACAACGCATTGCTTGATCTGCAGAGTAGGCGATAGGCACGTAAATCGTTGTCGGTGATGGTGCTTGGGCTCAGCGTTGCTTCGACGTCTGGTGGGGACGATAAGATAGAGAGAGAATGAGTTCAAAATGAGGAAGGAAATAAATATTAAGGTTTGGGGGTGTGGGCATATAATTAATTGAAGTTTATAATATTATTATTTAATATTAAATTTTGTATTATTGTATGATTTTTGTATATATAGAAGGTGTTTCGTGAGAATTAAAATTATATTTTTTAATAAATTGTGATAAAAGTTTTAAAAATGTATAGTTGAAAAGTTATGAAACTCATAAACATGTGATTAATATTAATTGTTTGATTTTAATTTATATTAAAATCTAATTTTAATCCTAACTAAACAGGTCTATAAATTATAATTCTAATTTTTGAAATGTAATATTTAAAAGCAAGCTGCTATGTAATTTTTAGTATAAGTACTTGTTTGGTAGGGATTTTAATATTTGAATTTTTGACAGCTAAAGATAAAGCGGGTTCTATTTAGGAGAGAAAAATTCAAAAAAAGACTGTAATAATGAAATAACGGTAAAAAAATTTATTGTAATTAGCTTTTTAACGATGCCAAACAACGTCTAAGTAAATCCTACCACGATTACCCCAAAAAATGTAAACATCGTTTAATTGAAGCATGGGCTCCGCCTCCATTTCCTTTTGAGTAGCGCGGTCGGTATAAGGCAACTCGTAGCCATCATAAGATGCTAGACTCCATCTTACATTCATATATGTGTATAATATTTATCACTGCGTGTTTGCGTGTGAAAAAAAGAGCCAAAATTCTTTGAACAATGGAGTGGATTCTCTGGTTAATCTTTTTCATTATGAATCTGGTCCTCGTGGCGGCAAATATCTACCAGGTACTTCTTTTTTCTGCCTTTATTTAAGCCCCTTTTGGTTAATTTGATTGTACACAATGCATTGGTTGATTTCTGAAAGAATCGATATTAATTAGGAAAGAATTTACTCATCATAGTGGAAATAAGCGAAACTATTAGCTTTATATTAAGTTTGTCCTTAAAGTTAATTTTTAGAAGGTAAGATTTAGTAAAAAAAAAGTAATTTTGAGAAAGGAGGAGAAACAATAAGAGAAAAATTAGTCATCTTTTTAGAATCATTGGCATTTTTATGCGAACCTAATATATTTTTGGGAATTATTCTACTCGTACAAAGTTTGTTTACAAACAAAGTGTTGGCAAGATCTATGACATTGATTTTCACTTATTTGTTTTTGAAATGATTGGCCTAGATGTTGCCAACACATACTTTGTAAACCAAGTTTCTCAACTTATTTTGTACAAATAGCATGATTCTATTTTTGGTGTTTTCTAAAGGGATAAAGAACACATAGCTATTGGGTCCAATGTTTAATTTGCATTTTGTTCATTGAGGAGCGAAATTTAGAGAACAGGAGGATCTTTCTCAAAAGCTACAATCTTTTGCATGCTTTGTAAAGAAAAAAGGGTAATGTCTAAAGTTCTATTCCTCCAGCCAAAAATGGAAGTCGTGGATTGAAACTGGATTGTTCACCAGGGAAAGGAGAGGTTCATTTTTCTTAACACCAATGATACTATGGTAAAAGAGGACTTTTTTTTATGCCAGGAAATGATGAAGATTGCATTGGAGTCTTGCCAAGTATAGGTGTTTTTTATAGGTGTAAAACTGGAGAGTAGGTTTTGATTTTATTTTCTTGTCATGATTATTAATTTTATGTTTTCCCCATTTTTGTTTGGACCTTTACATTCGGGACAAATATTATTGCATAATGCAGACAATTGAATTTGATATATTCAATTATATTTTGAACTCTTTTATTCTATTATATAGAGATGACTCTCTACATTTTTCTCCCAATTCTAGCTCTTCTTAACTTCTTCCTTTCTATATCTCATTCTACACGAATTAGTGAGATCCGGAAAGATAGTGATACTGAGAAATAAGAACGAACAACAGAAGAAGAATTGGGAATTCAGAGTGAACTTGGAGCAAATGAATGTCACCAATATCATAAATAATTTTGCATGTTATTCAGAAATACGATACGCAATTGTACGTAAACTACCTATTGAAAATTGTATGGCAAAGTCAAAACTTTTCTAACTCATAGCTAATAACTACCACAAGAAAATTAATCTGAATCTATTTCCAATTTTCAAATAGAATAAATGCGTATTTTTGTAATGTCTTCAATGAATTCTCCATCATATTCCCTCAGCTGAGAAGAACTCAATCTGGCAGCTGAGCTTGCAAATATTGGTCTGTCAAATCTGGATCAAGGCGTTGAAACCCCTCTTATAGATTTTAGGATACTTTAATAACTCAGTTTTTTCAGTTTAACGGTGTGACTCAGTAGAAATTATTCTGAGTCAGACTCTAGGGAATCCTTGGAGAGATTTTTGTTTTCTGTATTTCTTCCCTATATGTTTTCCCCTTTCAATTGATACCCTGGGCTGGATTCCTAACTGTTGGTCAAACAATAATTTGTATATAAGGGTTCTGCCCTGCACCTGCATATGCTTTTAAGTGTTTGGAAAAATCTTTCCGCAGTGGTTGTTTTTTATATGATTAGTGCTTCAAGTACTCTTTATCAACATTTACATACATCTGAAAATTGTCTTTGGCTTTTTGTAGTTTATATGTTTGGCAGATTTGGAGGCTGACTATTTGAACCCATATGAACTAGCATCTCGCATGAATGCTGTAATTGTTCCTGAGTTTCTACTTCATGGGGCATTCTGCATTCTGTTTCTCATGACAGGGCATTGGTTCATGTTTCTGCTAACACTGCTTCCCGCGTATTATAATGCGAAGAAGTAAGTTTCTTCCCCATCACATTCTTATGAAATACTTGCGCGTGATATTCGAGTGACACTGGTTCTATATAACATCATTATTCCTCTTAGGGACCGTTTGGTAGGCTTTTGCTTATTGTAAAAGAAGTTCAAAAGGAAGCTACTTTACGTTAGCTTCCTCTAAAAAGTCTGTTTCAGGAGCAGCTTTTGGCATTTCAAAAGGCATTATCCCTCTTAGGGACCGTTTGGTAGGCTTTTGCTTATTGTAGAACAACTTCAAAAGGAAGCTACTTTAGGTTAGCTTCCTCTAAAAAGTCTGTTTCAGGAGTAGCTTTTGACATTTCAAAGGTCATTTCCAATGGGCCCTTATCCGTTATTCTTGTTCGTGTGATCATTAATATGAGCCAAAGAAAATTTTAACCATATGGCCTTCCCTTTTCTGCATAAAGAAACTGAGGTGACTTTATCCTTCTTGGCTTGAATGGCTGAGGATATTGAGATGCGAAGACAGGGGGAGAGAAAATTTTTCTTTCAAATAACTTCATGTTGTTAAGCAAAGCGATTTGATGGGACGTGAAAATATATAGTTATTTAGCCTCTAATCGATGATTAAAATTAGATTTTTGGTAGATTTTGATAAAAGTTGATGAAATGTGTGGTTGAAAAGTTGTGGGATCCGCAAAATATGTGGTTGAAATATATTATTGAGTTTGATTTCGATTGAAATCTAGATTTTAATTTGTACCAAACATGGGCTTAGTATGTTGTGAATTGACTATGTAAAATTGACTTTCTGGTTGGCTTACATTACGCTATTAGCAAAGGAATAAAACCTATCAAATAATTTATCCAACCAAGATATATGCATTACGAGTCGTATTAGCCTTGATTATAGTCTTGAATGTCTAGTTCATCATCTAATGCAGAAATTCCTTCTTACATGGGAATTGGAGGGATAAATAGGTTGGGTTATCAAAGATTAATAGGTAAGTTGATCTTTTTAAGTCACATCATAGGCCAGCCGTTGCATTTACACCAAGCGTGGTTGGTCAATATATGCATACCCCAGATGAGCATTACATGAATGATGTGAAGATATTTAGATGCCTTTAAGGTGGTGTGGGAAAAGTAAATCACCTTCGCCAAACTATTAATTTGGAGATACAAATAAGAAGCTTACTCAGATTTTGGCTGGGCATGACAAGGGTAGTGCACCATTATTTGAGGTAACCTAGTAAGTTTTAGTATAAGGTACATTTAGTGGCAAAATGATAGGCTCGCAATACGATTCACCTACGCAAGAAGAGGGAAGAAGGATACAAGGCGGCCTCGTCGACTTTCATTCCAGAATATTCCTGTAAGCCAGTAGCTAGGGGGTAAAAGAGTAATAGTGGTAGATTAAAACGTCTATAAAAGGGTCTTGGAGGGAAAGGGGAAAAGTAGGCATTGTTTTAGCGAGTCTTTCTGTTAGGAGGGAATCCAGGCCCCTCGATTTGCCCGAGGGTTGTATTTCCGTTATTCAGTTGCAATAAAGGATTATTTTGTAATTCCTACATCTTCAATTGCTCTCGGTTACATTTTCAGATCTTAATTCCTCTCTCACGAGTGAGAATCACAGCTTCAAAGGTTGGGGTATTATCAATTTGGTATCAGAGCATCATCATAGGAAATGACACTCACTGTATGGATGCGTTGGAAACACGGGTATAAGGAATGCAAGTGGGAATGGAAGCCATGAGAACAGAGGCATCAGAGTTACTGGAGAAATTCAGTTTGATGATGAAGAAGTGGGATGGGTTGGAAGGTGATTGGAAGGAGAAGGGGGTGGGACCAATTCACCTGGCACTACTACGAACCAGGACAATCCTCTCGCCTCTCAAGGGTCAGGGGAGAACACTGAATTTTGGGGACGGCGAGATGAAGGGGATCAAGGTGGAAGGGGAGGCCGCCGGTTGGAAATGCCAGTGTTCAATGGTGAAGATCCTGATGGGTGGATTTTTCGGGCGGAGAGGTACTTCAACATGAATCGACTGGGTAACTAGGAACGGGTAGAAGCTGCTGTCGTCTGTTTTGAAGGAGAAGCACTAGCGTGGTATCAATGGGAGGAGAGTCGACAACCCATGAGGACTTGGGAAGACATGAAGCTTCTTATGTTGGATCGTTTTCGTACTTCGCAAGAGGGGACTGCCTTACAAAAGTTTCTGGCATTGAAGCTGGAGGGCACTCTAAAGGATTATTGTAGGATGTTTGAGATGTTAGCCGGGCCTTTGCCGCGATTCCTGAATCAGTGATGGAGGGGAATTTCATCAACGGGTTAAGCCTAGAAATACGTGTGGAGGTGCGGAGGATTAGGCCCCAGTGGTTGGGCCAAATCATGGAATTAGCCCAAAGAGTGGATGATAGGAATGAGTCCCTGAAACGAGCCCATCTGAGAGCAGGCCCAATTATGTCTAAAGGCAGTGTTATAGTCTCATCGGGCAGCCCCAATTCATTTAGCACCTATCACCAATTTAGCCCAACTCCTCTACCTCCGAAGGCGTCGATAGCGACAATAGCCAACTCCAAATCGACAGCAATTTTGATGCCGCTACCGGTGACTGTAGCTAAGCCGGCATCTCCCTTGAAAAGACTCACCGACGTCGAGCTGCAGAAGAAGAGGGACAAGGGTCTTTGCTATCGCTGCAAGGAGAAGTTTAAGCCCGATCATAAATGCTCAAATAGGGAGTTGTAGGTGCTCGTGGTACAAGAAGGGAATGGGATGGAGCAAGTGGAAGCACCTGAGGAGGAAGAAGGTGATGAACTGGGGGAGTTGTTTGAACTATCCATTAAATCGGTGTTGGCCTCTCTGCGCCTCGAACAATGAAGCTTCAGGGTTCCATTTTGGGGCAGAGCGTGGTGGTGATAATTGATTGTGGTGCCACCCACAATTTTATTTCAAACGAACTAGTTCAGAAACTTGGGTTGAACATCACCAGTACGCACAGTTATGGAGTCATTATGGGTATAGGGCTCGCGGTCAATGGAGGTGGAGGTGTCGAGGAGTGGTGATGTCTCTACCGCAAATTGATGTAGTGGAAGATTTCTTACCATTAAAGTTTGGATGCACAGATGTGATCCTAGGAATGAATTGGTTGGGAACCTAAGGAAAGATGTGGGTAAACTGGGGAGCATTGACTATGCGTTTTAAGGTAGGGGAAGAAACCATTGTGTTGCGAGGGGACCTCAGTTTGGATAAATCGCAAGTGTCCCTAAAGTCGATAGTGAAATCCATTAAGAATGGGGAGCAAGGGATGTTGCTGGAATTGGGGAGGTTGGGTGTGGTCTCTGAGGAAATGGGAATTGAGACGCCTGATACAATTAGGCAATTGTTGAAGGAATATGCCAGGGTATTTGAAGAATCCTACGAGTTTCCTCCAACACGAACACGAGATCACGCCATTACGTTGCAACCGGGGACAGCACCAGTCAGTGTGAGACCCTACTGTTATCCTTATGCCCAGAAAAATGAAATTGAGAAGTTGGTTCGGGAGATGCTAGCTGCTGGGATTATACAACCCAGACATAGCTCATTTTCGAGTCCGGTTCTACTGGTTAAGAAGAAAGACGAGAGTTGGCGCTTTTGCGTGGACTATCTTGCCCCTAATAAGGTTACAATACCTAATCGCTTCCCGATACTGGTAATTGATGAGTTGCTGGATGAATTACATGGAGCCGGAGTATTTTCTAAGCTGGATTTGAAGTCAGGATACCATCAGATCAGGGTTAAGGTAGAAGACATCCCCAAGACTGCCTTCCGAACTCATGAGGGTCATTACGAGTTCTTGGTAATGCCCTTTGGATTGACAAATGCACTGGCTACCTTCCAGCACTTGATGAATGAGATCTTTAGGTCTTTTTTAAGGAAATTTGTACTAGTCTTCTTTGACGACATCTTGGTGTACAGTGGGACGGTAGAGGAACATTTCCAGCATTTGAATAAAGTCATGGGAAGCCTGCAGGAGCATAAGTTGTTTGCCAATGCGAAGAAATGTGTATTTGGACAGCAAAAGATTGAATATTTGGGTCACGTCATATCTGAGGAAGGAGTGGCAGTCGATCAGAGCAAAATTGAAGCAATGATCCGTTGGCCCACACCACGCAACGTTAAGGAGCTCAGAGGGTTCCTTGGTCTGACAAGCTATTACTGGCAGTTTGTGGTGGGTACACCAAGGTTGCGTGGCCACTAACCGAGCTTCTTAAGAAAAATGGATTATGTTGTAGTAATGAGGTAGAGAGAGCATTCCCAGAACTAAAGGCAGTCATGATAGATGTTCCTGTACTCGCGTTGCCCGGCTTTTCATAGCAGTTTGTCATTGAAACTAATGCTTCAGAGCATGGGTTGGGAGCTGTGTTGATGTAAAATCATCACCCTATTGCCTACTACATCTAGGTTCTTCCATCTAATGCAAGAAAAAAATTAGTCTACGAGCAGGAATTAGTGGGAATTGTGTTTGCCGTTCAGAAATGCAGGCATTACTTGTTGGGACGGCACTTTGTTAAGCGGACGGATCAAAGAAGTCTGAAGTTTTTGTTGGAACAACGTATGGTCAGTGAAGAGCATAAAAAATGGCTAACCAAATTGTTGGGGTACAGTTTCGACATCCAGTACCAGCTTGGGGTGTAGAACAAGGCCGCAGACGCTCTTTCTCGGGTCGAACCAACCCTTAGTAACTTGATGATCTCTACTTCCAGGTCGCTACATTTAGAAGAGCTCAAACGAGCTATTGCCGCAAATGATGTCTAGGGTAAGTTGGTGAAGGACATACAGTCAGGGCTTCTAGTGAAACCTGGTTTTACACTAGCAGAAGGGTTACTAAGGTATCAAGGGCGGCTGGTGCTTCCCAAAAACTCTCCTTTTGTCACAACCCGATTGCAGGAAGGCTATGATTCCAAGATAGGTGGGTACTTCGATTTTTTTAAGACATAAAAGAGTTGCACGTGAAGCTTATTGGTTAGGGATGAAAAAAGATGTGTAGGATTATGTGGCTAATTGCGCCATATGCCAACAGAACAAGTGCATGGCGTTGTCTCCTTATGGGCTGTTGCAGCCTTTACCTATTCTAGACTCAATTTGGGACGAGATCTCACTTGATTTCATTGAAGGGCTACCTAAGTCAGGTGGGATGGATACTATATTAGTCGTGGTGGATCGTTTGAGTAAATATGGTCATTTCATCGGTTTAAAACACCCCTTCATTGCTCCCGGGGTTGCTGAGATATTCATACGAGAGAAAATCCGTTTGCATGGCATGCCCCAGTCGATTGTGTCAGATAGGGACCGTATCTTCATGAGTAACTTCTGGGCGAAATTATTCAAAGCACAAGGGACTGTCCTAAAACACAGCACTGCATACCACCCTCAGATGGATGGCCAAACGGAGGTGGTTAACCGATGCCTAGAGACCTATCTAAGGTTTTTTGTAGCTAACAAGCCACGCACTTGGAGTCAGTATCTTCCTTGGGCAGAGTTTTGGTATAACACATCATTTCACACTGCTACCCAGCATACTCCATTCCGGATTGTTTACGGTCATGATCCCCCGCCAATATTACAATTTGAGAAGGGTCTTACAGTTAATTCTTCCGCAGAGCATCTTTTACTAGAAAGGGATGAGATTTTACAAGAACTTAAGGCTTAATTGAGGATAACACAGATGGATGATGGGCATCGACGTGATATTCAATTTGAGGTGGGTGAGCTAGTGTACATTAAGCTGCGTCCTTTCCGACAGAAATGAGTGAAAAGAAGGTCATGTGAAAAGCTGTCCGCAAGATACTATAGGCCGTTTGAAGTTATCTCAAAGGTGGGTAATGTTGCTTAGAAGCTTAACCTGCCTCCCACTGCAGCCGTACATCTTGTGTTCGATGTAGGGTTGTAAATGGATCAGATCCGTTCCGTTCCGTTAAGAAATATTATCTTATCCGATCTGATCCGATAATTCAACAGATATTTGATTGTTAAATTCATATTCGATTTGCTATGTTATCGGATATCCGATCCGAATTTGAAAAAAAATATTTTTTTCACATTTTTTCGAGTAATATGATTTTTTTCCCAAAAAATATTTTAACTATCTTGATGGGCTCACCTATTATACTAAAAGGCCCAAATCAATTTTTTATTCAAGTGATGCTCATTTAGTTCCTTTTTTAAATGAGACTTTTTTTGGAATGTTTTAGTAATCTTCCAATGTGGTATACTAACTTTTTAAAGGATACTCATTTTCCAACATTTTAGTAATATTTCAACGTGGGATACTAGTCAATTGTCAATTCTAAGTGTTACTAGTTTATTTTATTATTTTCATTAAAAATCATAACCTCAGCAATATTATAATCACAAATAATATCAATTTAAAAAATGTAAATTATTTTTGGACATATTAATTATTAGTTTTTGATGTTATAAAACAAACTACTATAATTATTTTTATTTTATTTTAATTAATAAAAAAATTAAATCTCTTCGAATATTTCAATTAACAATATTATACTATTATTTATTATTTGAAAATTATGTGTAAAGCATAATATAATTTTCAAAATGAAAAAAATTATGTTTACTAGATTACGATATACTATATAAAATATATTATATTATTATAATAAATCGGATCGGATCGGCCTATATTTATATTTGCTCCATTTAGTTAACGGATTATCGGATTTTAATTGAATTATCGGACTGAAACCCTAAATTCATCTTCCATTAATTTTATCGGATTCGGATTAAAATTCAATCCATTGACAGCCCTAGTTCCATGTGTCCCAACTACGGAAGGCGATTGATATCTCTTAGCCTATGTCCTCCCTGCCGCCGCATCTCACTGCCGAAGGAGAACTTGTTTTTGAACTAGAGGCTGCGATGTCAATCAGGCCCTGTGCAGTGGGTAGAAATGGGGAGCCAGAAGTTTTGATCAAGTGAAAAGATCTCCCAGAATCAGAGGCAACCTGGGAGCCATTTGAAGCCATACGAAAGCAGTTCCCTAGCTTCCACGTTGAGGACAAGGTGGATTTTGTGGCGGCGAGCAATGATCAGCCCGCAATACGATTCACCTACGCAAGAAGAGGGAAGAAGGATACAAGGCAGCCTCGTCGACTTTCATTCTAGAATATTCCTGTAAGCCAGTAGCTAGGGGGTAAAAGAGTAATAGTGGTAGATTAAAACTTCTATAAAAGGGTCTTGGAGGAAAAGGGGAAAAGTAGGCATTGTTTTAGCGAGTCTTTCTGTTAGGAGGGAATCCAGGCCCCTCGAATTGCCTGAGGGTTGTATTTCCGTTATTCAGTTGCAATAAAGGATTATTTTGTAATTCCTACATCTTCAATTGCTCTCGGTTACATTTTCAGATCTTAATTCCTCTCTCACGAGTGAGAATCACAGCTTCAAAGGTTGGGGTCTTATCACAAAACCAAGTGCTGATATAGAATTTTGATAGATGGCTTTGTGGATTTGTGAACTTCTGTGGCTTAAGTCTCTAATGAAAGAACTCAGAGTGGATAACAACCACTGAATGAGACTGTATTGTTTAAAGAAAAAAAAAAAAAAAGGCAACAACTAACATCTGTCAACCATATTAGGATCGCACTGAACATGTGGAAATATATAGCCATATAGGCACTCCATTAAGGAGAAATTAGAGACTGGCCAAATTTTTATGTCACGTGTCCCTTCAGAAAGACAATAGGCAAATGTCATTACAAAGGAATTTCCAAGAAACAGTGTCGAGAATTGATAAGCAAGTTCCTATCTTTTGCACCAATTCAGAGGGTAGAAGGGAATAAAATAGGAATGCAATGCAATTAGTCAATTTATTTCACTTAGTTGGCCCATCACATTTCCTTGTATATTATGCAATGTTCTTAGGTTTATTTTCCATTTATAGTTTGCTCTGTACAACGGTAATGTAGCCTTGGTTGCTGTTCATTTTTCCGTTGAATAATTCCGTGAGTGTTACTAATTCTTATCATTGTTCAATCTTCTTGTTTCTGTGTTCTAGTTTTTTCTGTGTGGATAAAATTGAATATTAACTTTGTTAATTTTTTCTTATTTGCATTAATAGATACTTGACACATCAGCATCTTATTGATGTCACCGAAGTTTTTAGAGTTCTTAATGCTGAGAAGACAGCTCGGATTTTCAAGCTAGGATTTTATATAATTTTCTTCGCCTTAGTCATTACCAGGTTCATACAAGACTCTTTCTCGGTTAATTCTATGCTTATTAAATGTTTGGTTGTTTTTTGGCGATAGAACATTTCTGCAGTGCTATTAGTCTCCTGTTCCAATAATGAAGCTCGATTCTTGAATTTAGAAACTTAAATTGACTAACTAAATCGGCATTTTAAGAGGTCTTTGTTTGAAATAGATTGGCTCTGACACCTCATGTAGTTTGAACTTTACAACTTTGTTTTGGTCATGTTATCGTTTTATATATATTTTAATAATTTCATGTCTGCAAACAATGCTATAATTATTTTTGAGGTTTCAATTATTGCATTGGTTTATAGGAGACTTACACTGCTGATGTAAATCAAGGGAAACTGTCTAATACTCCATTGGATCTCAAAATTTTCCTTTATTTTATTTTGCTCAACTGTGGTGTGCAATATTACACAGCATCACAGACCATAATATCAGTAAAATTTCTTTCTTATGCTGATATCCGATATTTATGTACTTTTCGAGGATGTTTGGTAGGAACGATTGCATGACATGTTAGTATTAATATAAAGAAAAAAGGAAGTAACATTGTGTACAAGACATGTGTTCTTAGTGTAGTAGCTCGTCTTCCTTCCTTAGTCCTGCTTATTTCTATATTTATGCATTCTTTTTGAGTGGCAAAGGACATCTCAGCTCTTTCCCGGTTCTGCTATGGAATTCTTGTTGATTGTTACGTTGTGTGAATCTTCGAACGAATCATGATCAGTCGCTCATCTCTCCATCTTGCTTATATGATAGCAATGCTAATTTGCAGGCTTGCCTTTTCCGTTATAAATGCTGTATTTGATGAGGATGATGACTTGCGGGGATTCGGTTTATCTTGAATTTCCATCAGTTTTATGGTGGAGTTATTTACTGTCCCATGCAAGGGTAATGATCCCCAATCAACGTCGGTACGTAGGATTAGATACTACAGTGGATTCTTTTTTATTTTGATTTAGTATTGTTTTATTCACGGTATGTTGTAAAAAATACATGTTGGGTGATACTTCCTTCTTTTCTTTTATAAAAATTGAGTATTCAATGGCAACATGTGACATATCCTTTTGCTAATTTGGGGTAACGAGGAATCGACAGAAAAAGGAAACTAAAATCAAATTGTAATTCTCATGATTTTCTTCCATTTCATCATCTTCTACCTTCCAAGTCTTCCTCGGAAGCCCAAGCTTTCTTCTTCTTCTTCCCCAACAGCAACTTCTTCAGAGCACCATTGTCTAATTCAACTTATCAAATACAACAATGGTGCATATAATCAGAAATCCTAGAGCTATAGAAGAAGAAGAAGAGTGATGTCGTCTCAATCTTCTGCTTCATCCATTGAAGGATATTTGAGAAATATTTAGCAAACTTGATATGGGTTGATTTTTGGGGGGGGGGGGGGGGGGGGGGGCAAAAATATTTAATATAAGATGTGTTTTCTGGAGCAAACTTGATATGGGTTGATTTTTTGGGGGGGGGGGGGTTCTTTTTCCAGCGACAAATGTGCTCCAATTGAAAATATTAAAACTAGAAAAAGTCCTTTCATATTTTATTTTTATTTTTTAAGATTAAATAAATTAACCAGTATTTTATTTTACAGTATGCATTACTTTATTTTAAATTGGTAATAAAACGATTAAAATAGTTTTGTAAAAAAATATATGAGTTATTACATCTATGTCAATATGGTTTGAGGTTTATATTGTCGCCGTGTTATCCTCCATGAACCTTTTAGAAATGAGTGATGCTATTTATTATCATGATGATGGAACATCACTGATATGACAATTTATTATCCGTCACATTTCTCTCTCTTGAGACCGTGTCTCTTCCGCCTCTATCTCATAAAAATTGAATTGCCCAATTCCATCATTCCACGTCGACGGTCATATTATTGATATTTAATCATCATAATGATAAATAGTATTATTCTTTATAATTGTAAGAACTGAGCCAAACTGAAGGCAAGAATGTTTGGCCAAGTTTAAAATGTTACTAGCGGATAAATAATTTTTGACTGTAAATAAATATTTTTTAATGATAGAAAGGTAAAACTTTTAATTTTCCACGTACATTGATGAAAGAAAAATATCGTATCCTACCACCGGCGAACTAATGCAAAGCACGTTTGGCTAAATTTATAGAGTTATATATAAGTAAATAAATAATTTTAAAATTAATTAAACAATATGGACACAAAGGTAATTTACTTTTCCATTAGCTTATCCAATGTATAATCTGTGGAATTGGCAATGCATAGTTTTTGATCTTTATAAACATGATTGTTGATCGGTAAGTTTAATTTCTCAAAAGAAGTTTTTTTACTTATAAAAGAATTATTATTTTTGTCAAGTAAGCTTTACTTTTGAAATAGGTAATTTTTTAAAAAAAGGTTAGACCCTTTAATGAAAATTAAAATCAAAATTTTAATAGATTTTGATAAAAATTAATGAAATACGTGGTTGGTTGAAAAATTGTGAGTACATACGGTTAAAATTATTTATTATTTTGATTTAAAAATAACTTAAAATGATTTTATTTTTTCTTTTTCCTTCAAATTCAAGTTTTCGAGAATGAAGATACCAGAATCATTATCCCCACACCGGAGAGAGAAGCAGCTTGAAGAAGCCACCAAACCTTCTTTTGATAATCCAAATCACTTCTTAAAAAGTATAATAAAATTCATTCGAGCCAATAAAATTATATCAATTTCTTTTCTTCTTGAAGCTTACTATACCTAAAGTTCACTGGTAAATATTCTTTACTCAAATTTGTACTCAATCTTTACTTCTATTTTGTAGATTCATTTGTTTATTTGCATTTCTAGAAGTTCATCTACATACTCTTTCTCATCTGGGTTTCTCGAATTAATTTCGTTTTATTTGAATATTCGACAGGTCTTTTTTTTTTTATTTTTATTTTTGATTTTATCTTCACTTCATTTTTCTTTGTGATTTTGCATGTAATGTTATTTTCTTGCAGTTATTTATGTTTATTATTTCTTTGAGGAATTTTAAACGGATGATCTATGTGGGCAAGTGTTAAAAATGAAATGCAAATAAATAAATGTCTCCCAGTTTATGAAATTGAAGGTGCCACATTTTGATGTAAAACGAATTTGGCATGAGTGGAGAACTTGTCAAAGATTATTTATATAAATTTATTGCTCTCAAATGAACCCCTTATATTTTTTCTTGGTATTGAATAAATGTTCATATACCAGCAGAAATATTAATTCTGTGCATAGACTTAATGTAACTCTATCTGTGACTGTATAATATTTATTTAGAATTATTCTTGTATCTCAGTCGTTGGACATGAAAGTGGTAGATTGTTCTTTCAGTTCATATATTATATGTTATCTATAGTTAATTATTGTAATTGACACCAGAAAAATTCGTTCTTTCTTATTTCTTTAAATGTCATTGATTAGCTGTTTTCACTATAAGCAGCATCTATTGAGAAAAGGGATGTGTTTTTGTGCTTTTCTTGTATAAATTACATGCATGTGTGTGTATTTATGATCATATAGCTTCTATATTATCTTCTGGTTAGCAATATTAATTCAAATTGGTATTATGTCTTGAATGGTGCTAGATGGATATTTTATGTATAAGGTATCTTGTGCTGTGATTTGTTCTTGTAGCTATGCCAAGATGGTGATATGTTCTCCCTTTGGAACATGTACCAAAAATGTAACCCTCTTAATTAGAAGTGCCCGAAAACAGATGAGCAGCCATGTTCGTGATGTCATCTCGCAACCTTCGTTTAGTTCATGCTGTTTTTCTGCCTCCAGCAAGCATCTAAAATTACAATATACCGCCATCTATTCATCTAAAGCAAACTCTTGTTCATCTGCCATTGACTTCCAAGCATTGCGAGGTTGCTCTTTTGGGTCTAATATATCCAAGCATAAGAATAATTGCCATTCGTTGACATTAAGCATAGTTAATCCTAGATGTTACCGTAAAACTCGTGTCAATATTTCAATAGGAGATGAAAACATGAATTTGAGGCTTTTGGTTCCTAAGCAAACAAAGATTCCCGAAATGAAATGTAACATTAGGCGTGCTTCTTGGCAACAACGACGTGCATCAGCTGGGTTATCTATTGGATTATTGGTTTGTTTTTCAACTTCTGGAGCCGCAAATGCTGAAGCTCCAGAGTCGGAGGAGAACAAGGAATGTGATTGTGATGCTTCAGCAGCCCACTATTCACATGGGAAAAAAGTGTATACTGACTACTCTGTGATTGGTTAGTAATAGATGGCTTCACTTTCTGCCTTTTATTTTTCTCGTGTGCTGCTAAATTTAATAAGAAAGATTGTGTTATTATTGTAGAAGACATAATTCAAACAACTATCCCTTCTTTAAAAGCTTAACCTTTTGGATGAGATGTTTTCACATGGTACCTAAGCAAATAAAGATCATGTTGTCACCCAAATATGAATATTGTGCACATGGGCTTAGTGAAGACATAAGATAAATATATATGTTTGTCCCCTCTCTAAAACCTAAGATTTTAGATGAGGCGCTTCAGCCGTTATCATGATTATATTGATTATGATAGATTGTTGTTGATCTGTTAATTGGTTTCTTGTATTTATTGGTTCATTAGTATTAATTCTTTGACGTACCTTCAATCTGTGCAGGCATACCTGGAGACGGAAGATGCTTGTTTCGTTCCATTGCTCATGGAGCTTGCTTGCGATCTGGAAAATCTGCTCCAAATGAGAGTCTTCAGAGGGAACTAGCGGATGAATTGCGAGCTATGGTATGCTTGCCTATTTTATCTTAACTTGAAAGATAATAATTAATGCGTATATATAATTATCACAAGTTATGAAACAATGGGGTGACGGGCAGATGTCTCTGGTTCACATGAGCCAAACGCTGGCTAGTTAGTGGCATACCTAAACTCTCCATCATCTGTTGTAATGGATAATCACTAGTAAAACTGTGTTTATACTTACCAATTAATTACTATAAAATAATATGATAAAAAGAAAAGTGTGAAATTCAGGGCTAATTATCATTATAATTTAAACCAAGGAATTTCCTGAACTTCAAGGGAAGTGGCCCTCAAGAATCCTCCTTCCTTAGCTAGTTCGTACAGTTGGTGCAATGAACTGAGAATCAAGCACCTAGGACAATCTTCAACACGTAATGCTTGCAACAAAAGATCATAGATGTAGAATTGATGCCCAAGGTACTGACCTGGGATATCTCAGTTGTGGACACATGGAAAGGCAGCCTTACTAAAGAGCTGAATAATGGTTTTGGAGTGGAGATATACATTACTTTGTGGGAAAAATCATAATTTGAAGACCATTTAGATCAACTTTGCAAGGAAACCTGACGTTTTTTAACTTTTCATTACCAAATGTGCCCTTATCTTGCTTAATAGAACATTAGGTTGAATTCCATTTTGTCAAATTATTCTTTTCCCAACTAATGACAACTAGCAAGAAAGGGAACTAAAAGTTTATGTAAAATTAGAGCTAATTTTGCTATTATAAACTTCCACCAATTTGTAAAATTTTTTACTTCTGCTGAAGATTGAATGTGCAAGTCTTGTGAATGCAGTTGTTGCTGCTTCACTCGTTCCCTTAAAAATTATTTTAAATTCCTGATTATTAAGAATTGCTTTACACATAAAGATGGTTTAACGAAAAAATGTTATTATACAAGTTTGTCAGAGTAGTTTGCTAATCCTGCTATGCCAATCTTCTTAGGTGGCTGATGAATTTGTTAAGAGAAGGGAAGAGACAGAATGGTCAGTCTACTGAAATTTGTGATTCTTTTTAGATTGACAGCTCTGTTACCATTGCTGTTTCGTAGAGTTACCTCTCTTTTTCATTTTTAGTTTAAAAACATGCTTCGCTAAAAGTAAGTCTTTACTTACTTTTTTTGAAGAAGCACTTTACCATTTTTTTAGTCTTAGCCAAACATGCTCTTTATATTTCGTCAAAACTCATGCAAACAAAATCTTAGATGTGATGAGCTTTCTGAACATGGACATTAGTCAACGTCATCAATTGTAAGTTATGACTTGTCAGCTTGTGGAATCAATATGAGACTCTAATCAATCAGATGCCACTTATTTCAGGAAATGATCAGCTACATTTTCAGTATAGTTATTCAGACTATCATAATTATTTCATCCGGGAGCAATATTTTATTTGTACTATTGTTTCAGGTTCATCGAGGGTGATTTTGACACTTACGTTTCACAAATAAGGAAGCCTCATGTATGGGGAGGTGAACCTGAAATGTTAATGGCTTCACACATTCTTCGGTAAGCCATGTTTTAATTGAATGCTTGTCTCTGCAAATAGGAGCAGCTTGTACTGTTAAACAAACACTAGACTTGTATATGCAATTAGTATGACTGAATAAATCTTGTTTTTCCAGTATAGTCACCCACAATATATCTTTGACTCCTCTATCGAGGACAATTGATTTTTTATTCCTTCTTCTTTCTTATTCTTTTACTTAGGAGAGGGCATTGGAGAACATGATACAGCAGTTCCAGAATATTCCTTTAGTCTGATCAAATATAGAATGCAAATCACAATTTACAGACTTGAATTCAGAGCCAGGGCCTGTTCTTGTTCCTGTTCCTGCTCTGATAATACGTTAAACCTTGTCATCTAAAAGTTTAAGCACTTAGAAGGGGATGCATTTACTTATTTTAGTTTTAACAATTTCCACAAGTTTTGCTGGTGTACACTTTTCTTTCCGACAAGCCAAAAGAAAAATGAAATGGGTTATGCTTTTTGGATGTTTAACTTGAATAATTTTTCTGCTCATTGTTGTTTAGATCGCGAGAAACTAATGATCATCGCGATTGTAGGATGCCAATCACTGTTTACATGTATGATGAGGATTGCGGTGGCCTTATATCCATTGCTGAGTATGGGCAAGAGTATGGCAAGGACAATCCCGTTAAACTCCTCTATCATGGTTTTGGCCATTATGATGCATTGCTCATTCCCGGTAAGGGGGGTTCAAGATCAAGACTTTGAGTACATATTACTTATTCAGTATTCGACAATAAATGAATGAGATTTTAGCTTCTCTCTCTTACAAATTTTACATTATTGTCTAATCTATTGTACCAAGCATGCTATGAATGCACAAATTGCTGATGTACTAATGAGATATCTTTACCAGAAAAAAATTCTCGTCTTTTTTACTTTTTTGATTATTATTTTGATAACATGGTGCGTCATCAACAAAATTTGTTTTTGTTTGTATTTGTGTTTGGTACATTAGATTGAACTCGATGTTATCAAATGAGGGAAGCATGCGAGATTTTTGTTTTGTTCAGTTTAGTTTATGAATATGCACTAGTTGTTTAGCCTTGGTTCATGGCAGAACACATATGGTGCTGTCTAACAAATTGAGATGGAAGAGTATGTTCTCTGTGGGATAACTCTTTTTATCCCATGGACTAATATTGAGAAAATCATTAGTAGATTTCACTAAATATATGAATAATAATGCGTAGTAATTATGAAAGTGTAGTTGAAATTAATATTTGACTTCGACTGAATTTATGAATATTTTATAAATTTGTATTCAAATGGAGGCATGTGTATGTATTTGATGATGTGTAATCTCTCTATGAGAGGGATAAGATTTCAAAATTCAAAGTAAATTTTATTGATATTTATAACTAGAGTTAGGGGTTCAATTGGACTTCTTGTAGTCAAACAACTTTTAAATCTACTATTTAAATTTTGAGGGCTAATTTTACTCCACTTATTTTGTCAAAATCGGTCGTTTTACCAAAGTAATTTCCTCTTATCCCCCAAAAGCTTAGCCCCCTTGAAAACCATTAAAATGGAAAAATGAGTTTTTAAATACGATTTTTTCAGAGAATATGCAGTTAAAAAGTAGAAAAAAATTTAGATTTATCTGGAGAGTATTTTATTATAAGAATATGTGGTTGAAAATACGTTTTAGACATTATTTTTTTCTTTGGTTTTAATAATTGTCAAACAGGCAATTCTTGGATTTTTAAATGTGAACAATATTTTATTTAAGTTTTTATTTGCAGGTTGGATTAAATTTTGTAAAATATAATATAATGTAAATTTTTCTTATGAAATCTGAATTAAAATTTTATTTTGATATTACTTTAAATTATCTCGATAAATTTATAGTTGCAACGTAATTTGATAAATAATAATAATATTTTATTTTATCAATAATATCGAGGTGTTTGTGCTTCATTATTTATGAATAATGTATTATGAAATAGTGATTAATGTTGAAATGTGTAGTTAAAAATGAGTAATGTACAAAAAAATAATGGGATTTGCTACACGTAACTAGGCGTTTACACGCTCGCATAGGGGGCGGGTTCCACACATTTATTGTGCGCGGGTCCCGCTCTCAATGCGAGGACTGGGTAACCGGGCGTGTAAACATCCGGGTACAGATAGATTATTCCAAAAATAATATGGTAGAATAGTAAACAAATAAAGCCACAGTGATTTCTCTTCTGGATTTTTGAATCTTCAAACTTGTATTTACGTAAATACCCCTCTAATTGGATCCTGAAAAGGTGATATCTAGCATGTCTGCGCGTGTCATGTTGAATGATTCTCTGACGCCGCACTCACGTGATGTAATACACGAAGAAAATGACAACAAAGTCCTTGCACCACGCATTTTTTTTCTTTAACAAATCTTTTCAGAGCAAATATTTTGTTCTAAATTTATTTTAATTAACAAAAGTACTTGGAACACTTTCATTAATAAGAATTTAAATAGTCGGATTCAAATTTATTGAGACGAAACTTTAGCGTATTTACTGAAAGGCGTGGAAACAGTTGCGAATACTTCTGAACTGTAAATTTACATAGTAAAAAGTAAAATCTACATATATAGAGTATTAGAATGTAATCGTGGTTGTGAATATCAAATTACGATTCAAAGATTGTTGATTCGACTCAATACCTTTTAACATTTGAACTTAAGAACAAATAAGCACTATGTTTCATCAATAGATAATTTTCTACACAATTTGTGACCTTTAAACATTGGAAGCGTCTTTATAACCATTTTATACTCTCATTAACTATTTTCGCACGGACAACTTCAAAATCAAAATGATTAAAGGGTCAAAGAGTACAAATTTTTACAGTATTTGTCTATTTGATGCAGTTAAAACAATTGAGGCAGTGTTTGATAGTCATTGGAATTTCATGGAAAATAGGATTTCAATTCCATCTTCCACTTTTCCATTATTTGATAGCATTTATTTTATGTAGAATTCATTTTTTCACTTTGTTGCCACCTCAGTGGATTCTCACCAAAATGGTGATTATTCATTTCCCCGATTACTGTAGCGATTTTTTTTTTCATTTTTTTTTGGCAGTGGAAACAAATTCTAAAAATTATTGTAAAAAAATATTTTCCTTTAATTGACAATTTTCATGTAAAATAAAGCCAAACGAATATCAAAAGATAGATAATTTTCTTATTTTCTTTTTGAATGCAAACAAATTCTATCCCCAATACTAATAAATTTTATCTCTTTAATTGAAAATTTTTATGCAAAACAAAACCAAATGAATCCTGAAAAATACTTTGATTTCAACATTTTTTAGGTGAAAAATTATAAAAACAAAAATTGAAAATTTCTAAAAAAAATAATTTTTAGGCAATTCAATTCCCTGATATTCTTTTTTTTTCACCTAAATTCCATGTTTGTAATCCAACGGGCCTTTCAATTTTTTGGATTATCCAAATAAAAATTCCCAAAAGAAAAACCAAACAATATAAAGTAAATTCACATGAGCAAATAGCCGTCCTTAAGCCAGATTCAAACAATAGATAAAATAAATCAAAGGTACACACAAATCTTCTAACCCTTCTCTTATCCCCATGCAATCCTTCGAGAAAATATTATATTATACAATAAAATTAAAATATATTACTTTTTATTTATTAAATAAATAATAAATTCCATTTGAAAACAAATTAAACAAAGAAAATTCAAACTCCATAGCCACACTAAAAACCTATCATCTGAATTCGGACAAAACAAAATCCTGTTCTCTTCTGGTCTTCTTCTCCATACCCGGGTGCCCTCTCCACCCTACGCCCACTGAACACTCATTTAATTTCCTCTGTAATTCATGCAAAGATGGAAACTTTATTGATAAAAAAGATTAAAGCTTTACTCAAACCATTGATGATTATATCATTGTTCACATTTTGCATTTCTTTCTCTTCTTCACTGAATTCAGATGGGGTCTCTCTGTTAGCACTCAAAGCAGCCATTACAGAAGATCCAAAACAAGCCCTTTCAAACTGGGTTGACTCAGAATCAACCCCATGCACATGGGCTGGAATCACTTGTGATGACATCCACCATAAGGTTAGCTCCATTGATCTTTCCAGCAAGAACCTCACAGGCTATATTCCATCAGAGATTGGTGCACTTTCTTTCCTTACCTTTCTTGACCTATCAGAGAACTTTCTTTATGGGCCGTTGCCACACCGGATTACTACCCTGAAAAACCTCACTCACCTTGACTTGTCTTCGAATAATCTCAATGGTTCACTCCCTGAGGCCTTAAGTAATTTAACCTACTTGACAGGGACTCTAAATCTTTCATTCAATGAATTTTCCGGTGAGATTCCAGCGAGTTTTGGCATGTTCCCGGCTATGCTCAGCCTGGACCTCCGGCAGAATAACCTCACCGGGAAAATACCTGAGGTGGGTTCACTCTGGAACCAGGGACCCACTGCATTTTCTGGGAATCCACATCTTTGTGGGTTTCCATTAAACACTCAATGTAAAATACCAGAAGCTCAGAATCCAAGATTCTCCACAAACCCTCAAAAACCCGAGAATCAGGGTGTTTCGTCGGATGGATTTGTGGAGATCAATAAGAAAATAAAAATCGGGCCAGTTACATTTTCTGTGATTGCTGGGGTTTTTGCTGTGGCTGGGCTGGGGTTTCTTTCAGTGTGGGTTAGGAGAAAATGGGGGGCGGCGGCGGACGGCATAACGGGCAAGGAAGAAAATGTGGGTCATGAAGTCAGGCCTGAGGAGGGGCAAAAGGGTAAGTTTGTTGTGATGGATGAAGGGTTTGGATTGGAGTTAGAGGATTTGTTGAGGGCTTCAGCTTATGTTGTTGGCAAAAGTAGAAGTGGAATAGTGTACAAAGTGGTGGTTGGCGGTAGCGGCGCGAAGGTGGTGGGTGATCCAGTGGTGGTGTCAGTGCGGCGGTTGAGTGAGGGAGACAATCCGAGGCGGTTCAAGGAGTTTGAGGCCGAGGTGGAGACTATTGGTAGGGTCCACCACCCCAACATTGTCAAGTTGAGGGCTTATTACTATGCCAATGATGAGAAATTGTTGGTTTCTGATTTTATTCGCAATGGAAGCTTGTACACTGCATTGCATGGTAAGAGTAAAATTCTTGCTGTTAATTTTAGTTTTCTGATTGATTTTTCTTGTTTTTGTTTATATGGTTGTTTTGTGTGTTTGGTTTATTCTATGTTCGATAATAATAATCCACATTGATGATGTTGTGGCACGATCAAGATGCTAATGCCCTCTGTCTCCTCGCCTTAAAATTTTAGGCAATGTTCAATACCGAGAACACTTGCACACAGAGCAAACCAAATTTTGGTAAATGGCTTCTTCGGTGTTTGCCATGTTATATTTTTTCGGACTGAGGTAAACGGAGTACCTCAACTGAAACAAAAATGAAAGTTCAATCGCTTGTATAGAACTATTGAAGGGGAAAAAAATATCACTAGCTAATTAATCAAACCCAATATTCAACGAAAATAGTGTTATAGATTTTGGGTTCTTACTCAACAAAAACTTCGAAAAATCATCATCAATTAATAAAATAGCATACATACACAGGAAAATTTTCACAGCAAAGAAAGGCCAGTGAGTGAGAAGCCTGTTCACGTAAACTTTCACAGCAAAGAAAGGCCAGAGATAGAGAGAGGCGAACCTGTTAATGGTAGAGAAAGGCGTGAGAATGGGATGACAGTCTTTGAAGCAGAGAGGCGTGAGAATCCTTGAAATTTTGAGTCTTGAGTATAGAATTGTTATAGGGTTTGGGTATTTATATTTATGGGTTGAAATCTTTTAAAATCTATTCAAATCCATCAAATTATTGAAATTCTTCTAAATTAAATGGTTATTGAGAATATCTAAATTTCTTAAGAAACTATTGAAATTTAAGTTGAGGACACCTAAATTTTTAAGTATTTCTAAAAATCTAAATTGAGGACACTTAAATTTTGATGAATTGTATTTTAATCTGAGTTGAGGACACCTCAATTTATACAAAATTTTAAAATCCATTAAACTCTAATTTGAGGACACCCCCCAAATCAGATATATACTTTAATTTGAGTTTAATAAGATAGTTTTATCTAATTTCGTCAGTTGGAACTAATGAAAAGGATGATTAGTGGTCAATAATCGATGTCTACATTTCCTTGTTTGGCAATCATTATTTGAAAATTCTTTTTTCTACATACCAAATTTCAATCATATATTCACACAATAAAATAGTTTGCACGTAAAATTAATTTTTTTCTGTTTTTTTAATTACACATTCTCCTAAATCACTATTTAAAACAATGTTTTGACCAAATAATGGTCTTCATTATTTCAATGAAGTTGTGCTTATTTTTACATTAGTAATTAAGGGTTCGTTTGATTGTAAAGATGAAATTGAATTGAATTGAAAACAAATTTTAGGGAATTAAATTGTCTAGAATTTGTTTTCCTGAAAATTGTAAATTATTATGTTTGATTGAGATAATTTTTCATTTGGAAAATATTGAAATAAAAGTATTTTTTGATCTCCGTTTGACTTTGTTTTACATGAAAATTGTCAATTAAAGGGATAGATTTTACTGATATTGGGGATGAAATTTGTTTCTATTGCCAACACAAAAAAAACAAAAATTTAAAGAAAATCATCTATCTTTTGGTGTTCGTTTGACTTTGTTTTACATGAAAATTGCCATTTAAAGGGAAATATATATTTTTTACAATAATTCTTAGAATTTGTTTTCATTGCAAAAAAAAAAAAAAAAAAGTCAAAAAAAATGCTACAGTAATCGAGAATTCCAATTCTCACTATTTTTGTGAGAATTGGAATACAAGGAAAACATGAAAATTAGTTTAGGTGGCATAAAAGTTGGAATTCGAATTCTAAAGAAAACTTTGCCAATCAAACAACAAAAAATTGGAAAGATGGAATTTGATTTCCATTTTCCATGGAATTATGGTACAATCAAACATAGCCTAAGGCCCCGTTTGATTGCGAAGCAGGAAAAGGAAAAAGAAAAGGAAAAGGAAAAGAAATTCCACCTAAGTTGGAAAATAAAAAGCCACCATACCCATAATAATTCGTTTTCCATGGAATTGACAAAAAATGTGCTTTAAATGGTTGTACATAAGAATTCGAATTCTATTTCCACATGAAAATCAAATAGTCAAAGTAAAAATTATTTTCCTTGGATGTGACATTTTCCATGGAAAATGTTACAATTAAACAGGGCCTTAATAGTTAAATGTAATTGATTCTAGGGTCTTTGATTATCCTTACATGGAATTGGACAAAAAGTTACCCAAATTGAAATTAATGATTGCAAGATGGGAAGTTTAAGCGACATTTGGTAGTAATTTTTTACCTAAAAAAATAAATTTTTGATAATTATTTTACTATTTTAATCGTCATATTCGACTTTTTCACTCGCAGGTGAAATTCATTTTCTCTCTCTAACGATAAAAAAATCAATTTTCATAATCACTACCGAATATGTTCTAAAAATTATTACAATGCATTCATTCGATTGAAATTATTTTAAGCGTTAGACCGGCTTCCAAGAGGCTGTTTGGGAGTGATTTTGAGAATTGATTTTTTGACCGTTAGAAGAAAAGTGGGGTCCACCCGTGAGAGAAGAAGTCAAATATGATGGCTGGAATAGTGAAATAACGGTCAAAAAATCAATTTTTTGGGTGAAAAAATGGGGCCCAAACAGGCTACAAGCAAATCAACAAAATTTGAAATTTGAAATGGTATTTAGAATTTACTCTAATCCCGCCCTCAACGACATCGTTTTTGGTCATCGAAATTTCGATTTCGTAAAAACTGAAAATTTTCAGTGTATAAAGTACCGCCCAAATTTCATTTGAAAACTTGCCAATTCACTTCTCTTCGAGCTTCTCTCTTTCTACGATCCTTATAGACCCCCAATACACACAGAGAGATGCACAGCCATTGAACTACATTGTTGCACTTTCACTATCGACCTTACAAGAATCACTTCAATTTCAACAAATACCTCCAAGAAACTTCCCAGGTACGCGGAAATTTCTTTGTTTTGGTTTTCTGTAAATATGAAAATTGACGTAAGGGTCATCGGGAAATGACGTCATGTGAAATGGGTTGATGGGATGTTCTCTAATTTATTGTTATAATCCGATTTGTAACACTGGGTAGCTGTCATTTTCTCGCAAGAATCCACCATTTGTTCACCGGAGAAACTTCCTTTTCTGTTATAAGATACATTTCTGGGTCGCCGGAAAATACCGTCATACTATTAAAATCGATTTGTGACACTGATAACTGTCATTTTCTTTCAAGAACCCTCCATTAGTTCACTATATAAACTTGGTTTTCTGCCTAAGACACATTTATGGGTGCCTGGAAAATCATATTTCCTCGCCTGGGTTTCTCTAAAACATCATGTTCTTGCATCATTATCATACGGACCAAACATTGAGTCATTAATACTCTATTATTTTGTTTTCTCGTCGATGAAGATTACTTCTATAATGCCGGAGGCAAGAGACAGGTTATCGAGGGCCGAGCACCCTATAGCTACATACAGACCAAGGTTGAGGTCAATCACTTTGGGTGAAAATGCAGGTAGGGGTGATACTGTATTTTTTGTTTTGGAAGACGAGCCTGAGTTGGCACGAGGTAGTGGGACTCCATTCAGGTGGAGGGATACAATGATGACCGGTATACATGGAACAATAGGCGTGGCTGCTGCTAGTGCTGGTGCTACAAGAAGAGGTCGTGGTGGTCATAGGAGGGGTATTCCGGGGTCACCAGGAATTAGGCAGGGGCAGAATGTTGGCCAAGAAAATATTTCTCCGACTGTAGGACGTGGACGGGGAGGGCGTGGAAGTGTGCTACCTTATTGGTATCCAAGAACACCGCTTCGTGATATTACTTCGGTCGTAAGGGTAATGGTTAACTCATGCTTTCTCAATCTTACTTCTTTTGGTCTTGGTGATAGGTTAATCATCTGGTATTTTCATTTTCTTTGTGCCCATGGTTGTCTAGCCCTTCGATTCTGTTTCTGTGGATGTTCTTTTGTACATGCATTGGTGGTTATATTCAGTCAAATTTTAGATGGGATTATGCTTGATTGCAGTTTAACGATAGTCTTGAGTCTTTACTCGATAATCTCTTTCATGTTTTTTATGATGGGATATAACTATAATCCCTCGTTTGTTCAAGCTTAGTATGTGACTCTCTCAGGTTGAGTATACTGAAAAGATCAACGTGCACATTAAACACAATCAATCTTTAATATGGAAAACTCTCCATTTGAAATGAAGAGCCATAGGATGGCAATCCAATAAAAAAATCTTGTTATTAATAAAAAACAGTACCGCAGCAGTTCAATCTAACAGAAACTAGAGACATACAGCAGCAATTTGTAGAGCACATTTGTAAATGGACAAATTTGGAATCTAGTCAATATGAGCAGGCATAGATCATAGTGCCAACTACTTGTTCGCAAAATCAAAGCTTTGATAAGCTAAATTAGAGCAATGGGTTTGGGCTAGAGCCTGCCCCTATTCTAATCTTTAGGATCATAGAGGAATAACTGGTTCTCTTAAGCATCAATCAATTTGTAGACCTAGGTTTGCATCTGTATCTATACATAATTGTCTAGTTATATGATTCTATTCTGAATTTTTGTATTCGTTATGAGTCATGGATGGTTGAAATCTTATTGTCATTTTTATAATTAACTACATGGTACAAGCATAAACATATTTGAATACTTACATTTGTTGCTGATTTGGATTGATAATTGATTAATATGACAGCATTTATTGCTCTCTTCCTCCCCCCTCCCCCTTCTGAAGTGTCTTATTCATCATGCAATTTATAGATCTAGTTCATATCACTGCTTTTGAGATGGATTATATTGGTCGTTCATTTTCTTCTCTTAATATCTGCAATGTTAAATGTCTAAGCTTCCAAATTCTTGTCTGTTTTATCGTCCTTGATGGTTTAGAGTTTAATACCTAGTCTTTCAATTATCATTCAAGTCCTCCATTTCACATGTCAACTCAAAGCTTGGTGTCCACTGCCTGGTCTCCTAAAATAAGCAGTGCAGCTAGAACAGAGTACATGCAATTTCTATTTCCTTTTATTATCTGGAACCTAAACTATATATTTATTTCTTGTAGCCAAAATTGTACAGTCTATAAGAATCAGTTCGAAACAATGTGCTCAACTAGAAAAATAAGAAACCAGCTTGAATAACTAGTCAATTATATCCTTGAAAAGGTGCAAAAATTGATTCAAAACCTCTGGGAAGCTGTCGAGGTGACAGTGGGAAGACCTATTGGCTTTTTATTTGAAAAACAAGAACAGATTATGTTGAGGCTTGCGATTAACCATATATCAAGCTATGTAATGAATACTCTTGACATTATAGAACATTAACGTTTGGTCATGAATAATTGTTTTGTTTTTACTTAGAGGAAATTTAATTTATGTCTATATGAATATAATATTTATTTATTTAATCAATATACATATATAGGCAATAGAAAGAAGATCTCGCTTGAGAGAAGGTGAAGGCCTACAAACTGGGAGTCCTATTCTCCAGGACCAGCAAGTTCATTATCCTTTTCTGTCTACACCAGGTGCTCCACTTGAGCATATTACTTGTATGATCTCCCCAAAGCCAACCATTGGTACTAGTCGTTGTTCAGCATCAATTGGTAAGGTACCCAAATTATTGCTTGATATCACCAATAAGAAGGACGAAGATTCAGGCTGTTCAACTCCTCAGAAGATGTTGCTGAACTCAATTGACACGGTCGAGAAGGTGGTGATGGAAGAGTTGCGCAAACTGAAGCGGACTCCCTCTGCTAGGAAAGCTGAGAGGGAAAAAAAGGTTAGGACTTTGATGTCGATGCGGTAAATTGGGCAATTTATCTTGAAGTTCTCAATCAAGGTTGAGGTGGGATTTCACAGGAAAGGAGTGAACGACTGACCTGCATTGGATGGATATGATCATCTCTTGATGATCAGAATCCCAGGTTTGACTAGATATATCTCTATATCCTTAATTCTGCTACGTAGCATAGTCTTTTGAGGTTCATGTCTTGATGATACTCGTGTGTCACTGATGTAATCAGATTACAGTAATAATTGTTGGTTTATAGTCTGAATTTTGCTGCAGCTGTTATGCAGACAATGATTGATGGTTTTGTATTGATGTTCATAAAAAGGCTTTACTTTTTTCTTCTTTATATGGACTTATTCACATGCTTGTTAGATTAGGGATTTAAGATATCTGTTCTTACTAATCATTGTAGAATTATTCTTTTTCTGATCATTGTATGAAAGTATTGGGTTGAATTATGTGGATAATCTATGGAAACTAGTGGGAAAATTTTGTTCTCAGTGGTGATGAGGTCTCACCAGAGCAAAAGGGTGTAGATTAAAACTTTGTTACTTATATAGATAAACTTATCAATTAATAAAAAAACGATTCATAATATCAACTTAAATTTATTGTGAAAATTGAGGTAATAAACTGACTGCTGGTGTTGCACAATAGCAGAAAATATGCTGAAGAATTACATGTTAAGAATCCAAGCTTAATTTTCCTGCAGCACCTTTTTTTTTTTTTTTTTTTTTTTTTTTTGTTTTTTGTTTTTAGCTTTATTTGCCCTAAATTGAAAACAGTAATAAAGAAAAAAAAAATTCAGTGCATGATTAGAATAACAAAACGAATTGTATGATTCAATGCACGCACTCATTTGTCTTATTGCGTGTTTTATACCCCATTCGAGTCTCGACTTTAGGAGAAGATATGAAAGGCACCACCAAGAGGTCCCAAAATACTCAGTTTCTTTAGGTCTTTTGATCTAATTCTAGGCATTCAACGCGAATCAACGAGTTTAATTGATCAATTCTTTGGTTTCTTCATATGCCTCAACTACATCAGAAATTAAAGCCTATTGTACCAGTTATTGTGCATGCGGTACATGTCAGATTCCGTTCGTTCTTCCTATGCTTCTACTGCATCAGAAATAGAAGCCTAATGTACCAGATTAACAAAAAACTTAAGAATTTTGTTGTCTTTTTATGCATTATGTAATTTGACCGATTGAGTAGGGAAAAAAGGCTAATTACAATATAATGAGTTTGTGAAAGGAAATTTTCAGTGCTATTGCTCATCGACAACATCACAGATCGGAGAGAATCGTGATATAGTTATGACATTAGTGCTCATCTTTTGATTTTTATTTTTCTTAATTAAAAAAAAAAGATAAAAAGATAAACATGTAAATGGATTAAGTTGGTATAGTTAACTAATGGTTTGGGATTTCAAACTATGATCGAACCAATTCACTATGGTTTTGTTTAAAAGAAAACCAAACCAAATCAAACCAAACCAATTATTTGTGTCAAACTGACCCAAACTGACCCGAGTCGGTTTGATTTGATTGATTTAATCGATTTTTCGATTATTTTGCCCAAGGTTCGACCCCATATTCTATAAAAGAATAATATGCTATTTAACTTTTTATCTCATATTGGCAATGAGAAAACAACAAAAAAAAGGATGCCTTGTGCAAGGAAACGAATCAATAAGCAATCTCCATATTGTCTTTTCCGGCTTAGGTTTCATCGTGGAATTATTATTTTTCTCCCTGATGATATGATTAGGGATGGCAGTTTTCCCCGCCCCGCCCCGATGGGTTGATGTGGAGGGTCTGGGGGGGGGCGGGGAGTGTTGCCCCGTCTCGGGTCACGGGACAGCCCCGCCCCGAACCCGCCCCGTCAAGTTTAAAAAAAAAAATCCTAATTACAAGTTTTGCAACCTTAACCTAACCCCGCCCCACCCCGAACCCGCCCCACTGCCATCCCTAATTTTGGCCATCCCGATATCTACTGTCTGAATCTGCTTTCAGTACTAGTGGTAGATTTGTTAGTCCACACAGAAATAGGCTTCATCCCAAAACTTTGGAAGCTTTAATGTGTGCTCAAGATTGGTTATGGGCCGATATTCACGATAAGATGTATATAAACATTTGCTTTTCTGTTGTTCATGTTATTTATTTTCTTATTACTAATTATTTTACTTTATTAATAGTGAATTCTATGCCGTCTGCATATTTTGGATCTTGCTTCAAGATGAATGATGAGGATGTTGATGAAGAGGTAATTTTCTTTATTAGATAATGTAAATTTTAATCGTAGTTATTATAATGATATTGATTACAATATTCTTTTGTTTTTCAGGATCCATCTTGTGTGATCTCTACTTCTGTTGATGAAAGAAGTCATGAAGTCTGAAAAATGACAAATTTTGAATCAAAAAATGAATTTTAGTACAATGACAATGTAATTTTAATTGCAATTGTTCTTTTTTTTTGGACAGTGTTTGTTTCGACTTTCGAATGTTTATTTTAGACATTAACTTTATTTAAAAAAAAATTATACGGGACAAGAAACGGGGCGGGGGGTACCCCGCCCCAAACCCGCCCCACTGCCATCCCTAGATTTGATTAACTACTCACGATTATTTGTAGGAATTGGTTCAAATAATTAACCAAAAATTGGAAAATGAAAAGGTGTGACTACGTGTCAACTTCGACCAAATATTCAGATTTGATCCGATGATCAAATTACAAAAGTAAATAGACCAATTTATTCTACTTGTCGAGTAGATCGTCATGGTATATTTGGAATCTCGAAACCAATTCCGGATGAATAAGAGATTGCAGATTAAAGTTGGAAGAAATGAAGTGTTGCAACTTTTCGAAAGGATGCAGCTTTTGGCCAAGTGTTGCAACTTTTTGGAATGATGCATGTTTTGATCCATACTACTTCATTTGCACCCTTTTTACATCTATAAATAGAACTCTATGGACATGATTTTGGATATACCAATTACATTGAGCATTCATTTTCTTCTTGCAATTATTTCATTTCTAATTCCATAGCATTTTCATACATTTTCTTGGTAGAGAGGGAATTCAGTTCAAGTTCGCTGGTCAAAGTCATTTGGAGTGCTCCTATAGCTTGACGTGGTCGTTGCATCTTGGGAGATGATTGTCGGAAAACCGTTAGCACCGATACGGGGCAAATTCATCTTAAGGAAAGAGTTACACTCGCCTCGACCAATCGCATAACTTATATCTAATTTTTTCTGATTTCATTTCTACTTGATTTTAGAAAATGATTAATTTTGTTTATATGGTTTATGGAAGGTTCGATATGAAGAATCACATGTTTTAATTCAAGAATGGAAATTGTCAGATTCGATAAGCATTGGTTAGTTTCTCAAACTCCATTTCGATAAGTCGAAACCTTGTTTCGATATGCACATAGTCGGTGTATTCCCCAGCACTATCAAACTACAATGAATATGACCTAATCTTATAATTATCAATCTTTCACCATATATATATGTACATATTATCTATAAGCCTAATCATCTTCATATCAGCCATGGCAATCATTATCGATTCTCAATTTCAGTACTTATTTTTTCCCATCTGCATAATACTTGTAGTTGGGATTCTTTCCTTCATCAAAAAGAGTGCAAATTCCAAAAAAAATATTCCATTGCCGCCGAGCCCGGCAGCTCTGCCGGTGATCGGCCATTTGCATTTGCTGAGCTCCACTTTGCACATTTCCTTCAAGAACTTATCTTCTAAATATGGGCCTTTTATGCTTATTCGTGCTGGCGCAACCGCTTCATATGTTGTCTCTAATGGTGCTATAGCCAAGGAAGTGTTCAAAACTCATGATATTAAATTCGCAGCCAGGCCAGAATTTGGTTCCTCGGATTACCAAATATATAAGGATACATTGTTTTCTACATTGGATTATGGGAAATATTGGATTTTCTTGAAGAAAATATGCATGATGGAAATTCTTTCGACGCAGCAGATTAATCGGTTTGCTGATACAAGGAGAGAAGAGATGATAGATCTGTTGAGAATTTTTGTGAAGAAAGCAGAGGAGGGAGAGGGATGTGATGCGGGAGTAGAATTTATGGCAATGACGAACAATTTGATCTCCCAAATGACAATGAGCACGAGGTGTTCAACAAATGCGGATGAGACTTCAGAGATAAGGGAAGTGGCTAAGGGTATAACACTTATTTCAGGGTTGCTAAGCTTGGGAGAAGCATTTACTTTGTTGAAGAGGTATGATGTGTTTGGGGCAGGAAGAAAGGTGAAAGCCCTTTTGCTCCGATTCGATGCTTTAATGGATCGGATTATATCAAAACATGAGATGGAGATTCGAGGTGGAAAACGAGAGAAGGATATGATGGATATTCTCTTAAGGATTTCGGAAGATAAAACTTCTGATGTGAAGCTTACTAAAGCTGGTATCAAGGGCCTTTTTCTGGTTAGTCTATCGCCTCCTTTTTTTAAGTAGAATTGTCTTCTTATTTTTTTATGTTAGAAGCAGAAATACGGTGCTCTCAAACAACATGTTCTACACTACAATTTTTCCAATCCTAGTTGCCTACGGCATGTTTGGTAGGATGAAATAGATAGTATTGGACAATATTAAGAAAGACAAATAAGCTAAAATCATATTTATCATGCTTCTCAGGCACATTCAAAGTTGTGCAACGAACTTGCAATTAAGGAAAATCTGAAACGAGTACTAGTATAGATAAAATATGTAATCGATACAAGTAAAAGTTACTTGAGAAATTACATATTTCATCAGGAAACCGATTCTGATTAGAAATGTGTATTTGACAGGATCTTTTCTTGGGAGGTACTGATACAACAAGTGTGGCTTTACAATGGTCACTGGCAGAACTCCTTAATCATCCAGAGGCCTTAAAGAAACTTCAGGGCGAGATCGACAACATTGTGGGGTTAAACAGGCTAGTCGAGGAATCAGATGTCCCAAATCTTCCTTACTTGCATGCCGTTATCAAAGAAACTCTTCGACTACACCCTTCATTGCCCTTGGTCTTCCGAAAATGCAGGGAGGACTGCAAGATCAATGGTTTTCCCATAGCTAAAAATTCGAGGGTCGTAGTAAATCTGTATGCAATCAATCGTGATCCAAACGCATGGGAAAATGCGGCAGAATTTGTGCCAGAGAGGTTCTTGATCAATACTATAAACGCGATTGGCCATGATGATCCCGAGGACATGAAAGGCCAGAATTTCAGCTACGTGCCTTTTGGAGGTGGACGTAGAGGTTGCCCGGGAGCTGGTCTAGCTACATCAGTGTTGCATGTAACACTTGCAGGAGTAATCCAATGCTTTGATTGGAAAATAAAAGGAGCAGATAAGGTTAATATGGAAGAAGGAGCAGGATTTTCTGCAGCAATGGTTCATCCTTTGGTTTGTTATCCTATTTTACGCGTTGATCCGTCGGTTATTGCAATTTAGCACTTCATGCCAAGAATTTCCACTCGTGATCACAGGAAATTATGAATGTTTCTTTTACAGATATCACATTAAGTAGTTAGTAAAAGAATGCATGCACTACATTTTCTATGCTAAACAATCAAGATTGTCATTAGAAAGACAAACTCCGTCTATATTTTCTAGTAGCCAGTTCAAAGATGAAAGTTCCAGTAGATTGACAACTCGTTTTGATACTTTAATTACTCATTTTGTTGGGGTGTCTCCTCAAAGCATTGGGACGGATTGCAACTGCAGTGAAAAGTGAGGAACACGAAGTTGTCCTTCGAGGGAAATTTCTTTAAAACTCGGTGACCTCTCAAGCCAATCCAAATAAGAAGAGCGTGTAATAGAATATTCTTCGAGAACATGAGCAATTTTCGGAACTCATAGATGTAACTAAGCCCAATCATTGAACAATCTAGTACACATTAAAATTGTTTGGAACCGGCCCTATGAATTTTCCTTAATATATTAATAGTTTAATTTACCTTGTTTAGTTGTTACCAAAGAGTTGAGGTTGACAAGTAACATTCATTTATTTTGATTATTGAGGTTAGCAGGTGACTTGATTTTGATACAATAAGAAAAGACCAAATGGCAAGTGGACAAAGCTTAGGTAATTATCTAGTAATGAGAAATGATCACTTATTTTTCTCAATTGCTTATTTAAGCTATACACGTTTTCTTTGTTTAAGGTTGCAATTTATCCCACTGGCCCCCCAAATTATTGTTGTTATAGCACCATGTTTGCTAAGCGACTAAGAAAAATAAGTAAAAAATTTGTAGTATAATCTTGCTAGATAAACAATATGTGACATTCAAGGCCCCGTTTGGGAGGAATTTTGAAAATTGATTTTTTGACCGTTAAAAGAAAAGTGGGGTCAACCTGTGAGAGAAGAAGCCAAAAATTACGATTGGAATAGTGAAATAACGATAAAAAAATCAATTTTTTGAGATCAGGCTGCAAATATTATAACACTCGTTTTCAATCTTGGGGACTAATGTTCTAGAAGGCAAAAAAAATGTAGGGTGAGCAAGCATGACAAAAGAGGAAGAATCTTGTTTGAAAATCTAATGCAGGTTGAGACACAAAAAACGTTTAAACATACAAGCCTGAAACTCGATATTATATGGGTGTATTAGGCCCAATACGCTGTTAAATTAACCAAATTGAATAATACACTTTTAAATAAAATGAAATACCTACCACGTAATTAATACGTCCTAAAAGCCAAAAACCCGTCAAATTAGATCCCCAATTCCCATTCCATAAGAGAGGATTCCCTATGCTTTGAACTCTTCTTCTGCATTTACTTTCCCAAAACAGCCATTGCAAACGGTTGTAATTACACCGACGAAGAAGAAAACAACTAATCCATCGGTGCCGTCGAAGCTGCAGTGGAATATAATACAGAAAGTGGCGGTGAAGGCTTTAGATGCGATGGAAGCTGCCTTGGTGTTATGTGAGTTACAGCATCCACTCCCTAAGATTTGCTGACTCTGGTGTTCAAATTGCTGGAAATTTTGCACTTGTGGAGGAGCAGCTTGTTATGCCAGTCGAATGTATTAGTTTTATGCTTCAGGTGAGTTATATGAGCGCTAATGTCCCATTTTGAACCTTTTTTATTTTTCTATTTTGAATCGGTCGATAAGGCTGAAATAAATTGAAGTTCAAGTTTAAATAATTGTCCTCTCGTTCTATTTTCACTTTTCACCATTGCTTGTTATATTACCTTTGAAGGTTGTGGGTGTGTTCAGCCACATGGATTCTTTAATAGATCACCGGCAATGGACCTATCGTCTAATGCTTGGGAGACGGATGCCAAGGAGAATGATGTGAAAGCAAAGCCTTTGTAATCTGGTGTAATAGCAAAACTTTGAAGGGATAGCCATGGATTTGCTATTTTCGAGAGAAATTCTGGTTGCCTCTCTCTCGCATGAAAGTTTAAACAGTTTTGTATTTCTAATTTTATTGACTTTTGCTTGTATTTGCGTTATCATGTTGAGTATTCGCTTAAAATATGTTGGCTTGTGAGAACTTGGCATTCAATGTTTTTTGGTTATGCAATGGCCAGGAATGTGGAGCAGGGATATGCATTGTTTCTACAGATGCCAGGGAGTGAAGGAAAACGTGAATTTCAGTATGAGTTCCACACTTGCCGATTTTGTTGTTGTTGTTGGAGAGAAAAGTCAAATTACATACTTCCTCTTGACTTTGTTTTATTCGAACGGATAATATATCAGATTAGAGATTTATTTTGTTCTGCTGTGATGCTTCCCATTTGAATTGCGGACTGATGTTCTAGTTTTAATGCTCATTGATTTGGAAGAGGGTATTTTGTGACTGTGTTTATGACTAGAAACAGAAATAGATAGGGCTGATGTCGCGAAATTGTTAGGAGTTCTACGCTAACATTAAGCCTGATTGTTTTATGTGTGTCACTAAAACCTTAAACCTGATCGCTAACCATAAACCTTAAGCCTGATCGTTTTGAGAACAAGAGTGTGTTTGTCACTTTTTTAATCTGTGTAACTTTTTTTTAAATTGTGTCACTTTTTTGAATTCGTCACTTTTTTGAATTTTTGTCATTTTTTTTTAATATTTCTCACATTCTTGTTTGCTATCACTTTTTTAAATTCGCCACTTTTTTTTTAGTGTATGTCACTTTTTTGAAATTGTCACTTTTTTTGAAATTTTGTCACTTTTTTGTAGTGTTCGTTACTTCTTTTTTTTTTTTTTTTCAAGTTGCGCTCTTGAAATTTTTATCACTTTTTTAGTGGTAAACATCATTTTTTTTTATAAAAGTAAGATTGTATGTCATTTTTTAATAAAAAAGTGACACTAAACTTTTAAAAGTGACATTGTGTCACTTGTTTAGATTGTCACTTTTTTGAGTTTTTTGTCACCTTTTAAGTTTGTCACTTTTTTTTTTTTTGAAATATTTCTCACTTTTTAAAGAAGATAAAAAAATGACATAATATGTTATATTTTTCTAACATAATAAGCATGTGGACAATGCACATGCGATTATGTTAAGAACCGTATGTGAATTGTCCTGAATATGCTGATTATGTTGAAAATGCGATTACTGGTGCTGCACAAATGGATGATTTTATTTTGGCGTTTGTTACTTTTTTTAAATTTTTGTCACTTTTTTTGAGTTTGTATCAATTTTTTAGTGTTCGTGTCACTTTTTTTTTAATTGTCACTTTTTTGAGTTTGTGTTACTTTTTTTAAAAAAGTCACAATTTTTATTAAAAAAGTCACATTGTGTCACTTTTTTATTTTATACAGTATTTTTTACATCCTAAAAACTTTTCCTTTGATTTTTCAAAACACATCTAATTTTAAGGGTATTTTTGTAAGTTGCCCTAAAACAATTAGGCTTAATGTTAGCGTAGAACTCCTAACAATTTCGCGACATCAGCCCTATCTATTTCTGTTTCTAGTCATAAACACAGTCACAAAATACCCTCTTCCAAATCAATGAGCATTAAAACTAGAACATCAGTTCGCAATTCAAATGGGAAGCATCACAGTAGAACAAAATAAATCTCTAATCCGATATATTATCCATTCAAATAAAACAAAGTCAAGAGGAAGTATGTAATTTGACTTTTCTCTCCAACAATAACAACAATAAAACCGGCAAGTGTGGAACTCATACTGGAATTCACGTTTTCCTTCACTCCCTGGCATCTGTAGAAACAATGCATATCCCTGCTCCGTATTCCGGGCCATTGCATAACCAGAAACCATTGAATGCCCAGTTATCACAATCCAACATATTTTAAGCGAATACTCGACATAATAACACAAATACGAGCAAAAAAGTCAGTAAAATCAGAAATACAAGACTGTTTCAACTTTCATGCGAGGGAGAGGCAGCCAGAATTTCTCCCGAAAACAGCAAATCCATGGCTATCCCTTCAAAGCTTTGCTATTACACCAGATGACAAAGGCTTTGCTTTCACGTCATTCTCCTTAGCATCCGTCTCCCAAGCATTAGACGATAGGTCCATTGCCGGTGATCTATTGAAGAATCCATGTGGCTGAACACACCCACAACCTTCAAAGTTAATATAAAAAGCAATGGTGAAAAGTGAAAATAGAACGAGAGGACAATTATTTAAACTTAAACTTCAATTTATTTCAGCCTCATCGACCGATTCAAAATAGAAAAATAAAAAAGGTTCAAAATGGGACATTAGCGCTCATATAACTCACCTGAAGCATAAAACTAATACATTCGACTGGCATAACAGGCTGCTCCTCCACAGGTGCAAAATTTCCAGCAATTTGAACACCAGAGTCAACAAATCTTAGGGAGTGGATGTTGTAACTCACATAACACCAAGGCAGCTTCCATCGCATCTAAAGCCTTCACCGCCACTTTCTGTATTATATTCCACTACAGCTTCGACGGCACCGATGGATTAGTTGTTTTCTTCTTCGTCGGTGTAATTACAACCGTTTGCAATGGCTGTTTTGGGAAAGTAAATGCAGAAGAAGAATTCAAAGCATAGGGAATCCTCTCTTCTGGAATGTGAATTAGGGATCTAATTTGGGGGGTTTTTGGCTTTTAGGACGTATTAATTACGTGGTAGGTATTTCATTTTATTTAAAAGTGTATTATTCAATTTGGTTAATTTAATAGCGTATTGGGCCTAATATGCCCATTGTTTTATGTGTGTCTCTAAAACATTAACCTGATCGCTAACCATAAACCTTAAACCTGATCGTTTTGAGAACAAGAGTGTGTTTGTCACTTTTTTAATTTGTGTAACTTTTTTTAAAATTGTGTCACTTTTTTGAATTCGTCACTTTTTTGAATTTTTGTCTTTTTTTTTTTTTTTTTTTTTTTTTTTTTTTCTTTTTTTAATTTTTTTTTTTTTTTTTTTTTTTTTTTTTTTTTAACATTTCTCACATTCTTGGTTTCTATCACTTTTTTAAATTTGCCACTTTTTTCTAGTGTATGTCACTTTTTTCTATACCACTTTTTAAAATTTATCACTTTTTTTAATTTTTATCACTTTTTTTTTGAAATTTTGTTACTTTTTTGTACTGTTCGTTACTTTTTTTTTCAATCGCGTTCTTGAAATTTTTATCACTTTTTTAGTGGTAAACATCATTTTTTTTTATAAAAGTGAGATCGTATGTCATTTTTTAATAAAAAAGTGACACTAAACTTTTAAAAGTGACATTGTGTCACTTTTTTGAGTTTTTTTTGTCACCTTTTAAGTTTGTCACTTTTTTTTTTTAAAAAATATTTCTCACTTTTTAAAGAAGATAAAAAAATGACATAATATATTATATTTTTCTAACATAATAAGCATGTGGACAATGCACATGCTGATTATGTTAAGAACCATACGTGAATTGTCCTGGATATGCTGATTATGTTGAGAACGCGATTACTGGTGCTGCACAAATGGATGATTTTATTTTGATGTTTGTTACTTTTTTTTAAGTTTGTGTCACTTTTTTTGAGTTTGTATAACTTCTTTAGTGTTCGTGTCACTTTTTTTGAATTTGTGTTACTTTTTAAAAAAATGTCACAATTTTTATTAAAAAAAGTGACATTGTGTCACTTTTTTATTTTATACAATATTTTTTACTTCCTAAAAACTTTTCCTATGATTTTTCAAAACACGTATAATTTTAAGGGTATTTTTGTAAGTTGTCCATATATATTGTCACATCTTATACACTTTTTTAACATTAAATAAGTAACTTTTGCCGATTTATAAGTACAAAAAATTGCCGTTTTCATAGTAGTTATATCGTACCACTAAAATAAATAACTTACTTATTTTTAATATTGCTTATTTACTTATAAGCAAACCTTTTAAGCTTAGGCAAACATGCTCTTATAAGTCCAAAATACAATACGGATAATCTGAGGTGGCATATCCCCGTACTCTATTCCACCTTGTCTCAACCTTCTTCTCCGCCCGCAGTTTTCGTATTGAAGAACCCAATATTCTATCTCTTTCTCTGCAATCTATATCGTATTTTGACTCGCTTATACACATTTTTTTCTCTTTTCTTCTTTGATTCAATGCGCATATGTGTATAAATTTTAGCAATGTTTGCATTTTTCTTTGATCTATATTTTGTTATTGATATCCATGAGATCTGAATCGATTTATACTCTTCAAAATTTGGACCTAAGATTTCATTTCTTATTCGACCAACAAATATTTTCCTTTTTTCCTCACATAAATTGAAATTCTTGGGGGAAACTTTTGTAAATTTAATCTCCTTCGAGCCGATACTGTTCTATACTGACTTGGATTGATTTTGAATTGATTGAGAAATCAAATTTTTCATTGGTTTTTTGGGTTGCCTTGCAAAATAAAGTTGTGGGTTGTATTAGAAAATGGTGACTGTTAATCTTGGAACCCTTTTCTATGTTTTGGATCATGTATATGGTGCATTATTGCATAGAACGAAAATAAGTCCACCATTTTTTTCAAGAGGGTGGGGTGGCACAAAACTTGAGCTTTTGGAGAAAATGATAAAGCAATTGTTCCCTGATGTAGGACAGAATTGGCCTCCTACATTGGTGCAACCAATTTGGAAAACAATTTGGGAATCCAAAACTGCTGTTCTTAGAGAAGGGGTATTTAGGACACCATGTGATGAGCAACTTCTTAATGCATTGCCTCCTGAAAGTCACAATGCCAGGGTTGCTTTTCTTGCTCCAAAGTTCTTGCCTCCACAAAAGATGGCCTGTGTGCTTCACCTTGCAGGTAATGACTTATAACAATTTTGTGACATATAGGTACCCAGTTTATGTTTGATGTGATTGTGTAAGTTTGTCAACAATTGAAAGGAATAAGTTTATTTGTGTCTATGATTGCTGGTTTAGTAAAGTTGTGTCCTTCTTATTGTAGGGCAGTAAGATTTGACATCGTATCTTCATGCCTTCTCATTCGGCAAAAGTTTCTTAGAAATTATTATATATCTTTCTATTTAGCTACAAGTCGACCGACCGTGATTTATGAGTGTTTGGCTGTAAAAGATACCAATAAGAGGAACGCTCTATCGAGGATGCTAAGATGGATTTGTTGCATACTAAAACAGACAAGATAAGAAATAAAATATATACTATAAGTGACGGTGGTGCCAATTGAGAATGAATTAAGGAAGAATAATTTGGAAGGTGGAGACATGTTTTGTATAGACTCTTCACGTTCATAAGAATGTAGTGACGTAAACAGAACAAGTTATAAGAGGGAGGGTAAACCAAAATGACGTGTTTTGTGGTAGTTTTTTAAATCCTTCTAGCGGTGAACCTTTGAAGATAACTGGTGAACAAATGCTAATGAAGAGTCCTGCAAATTCTGGGCTTAATACTTACCTAATTCAAGAAGTTAAATTTACCTTCTCTCAGATATGGTTGATTATTTACCATGAGATTACATGTTTAATTAACTAAGGGAAATCCATTTGCTAAAGTTGCTTGAGGTTGATGTTTCTCATTGAGTTTTTAATGTTTTGTACTGACGAACAACCTGGAGTCAAACTGACGTAGTAGTTTTCTAATCTGAGCCTTTGAATGTTTAAATCATCTATCCTTTCATGCCACTATGAGGACCCTTAGTTTGATAGCATTGTTGTTCGAATAAAATGTACTTTTCCAGCAATACATATGGGAAGGGCTACAGTGCATTAAACAAACTGGTCATAGAGTTACAAAAGATTCAATACAATTCTGTTTGAGGTGTTCTGGATATTCTTTAACTGTAGTTTTTAGATGCAAAGGAATACATTTGGTGTTCCTCTTTATATTTTAGTCAAAAGAACATGCTTGTTGGTGGGGGTAAGCTTGTTGACCACTCAGTTTTGTAGGTTATTCAAAATTGTAAAAGACATTTGGAATATAGGCCTTTTTTCAAATATAAACTTGCTCATCATACAAGTCCTTTTCAAATATAAATAGTGTTACCTCTCCCTCTGTTATATTATTAGATTTTGATTGAATTTTTGCAAGAGAGTTTGTTAATTAAAATCAAATTCTGGCTATGAGGACAACTAGAAGCGCAGTTTGCGATAACCATTTTCAAGTTGTCAAATTCCCTTGTAGGTGTAACCTATTGCTTATAGTTCATCCTTTCAAGATAATTATTCAGAGTACCAGTACTCATTAGGAAATAAGATGAGATATAGAGGGAATAGAGAGAAGAAACAATTTGGGTCTGATACTAATGAGTGAGAGACTAATGAACAATGATCCTTATTCTGCCGTCCCACATGTTTTTTGTTGGAATTGTGTGTGCCGCTACGGAAAACAAGATAACAGATACTAATGCAATGTACTGAAATTGAATAAATTGTTCTGATAAAATTCTAAAACTATAGATATATAAATCATTTGAAGTTAACTATTCATCTGTTCCCATTGGTTACAACTGTGCCAAGAATTCTTTCTTACTGTCTAAGATGATTAAAAAAATGAAAAATCAAAGTTGAGCATTTGAGCTTAATGTTTTTCTTTCCCTCTTAGGCACTGGAGACCATACATTTGAACGGAGATTACGTCTTGGTGGACCATTGTTAAAGGAAAACATAGCAACCATGGTGCTCGAGAGGTTGCCATGGAACTCTTAAACAAATTGAAGACTTCTTCTCATGTTACGAAGATCTAATTCAAGCTAAATATGTTGTTGCAGCCCTTTCTATGGAAGAAGACGTCCAATGCTGCAACGTGGTGCAAAACTTTTGTGTGTTAGCGACTTACTCTTATTAGGAAGAGTCACCATCGAAGAGGCCCGTAGTCTTCTATATTGGTTAGACTCAGAAGCAGGGTTCGGCAAAATGGGTGTGTGTGGACTTAGCATGGGTAAGTTTCTGATCTTACCTTGATCACGCTGTATTTATTTTATTTTATTTTTTTTGGGGGTAAGTTTCTGATCTTACCTTGATCATGCTGTAATTTTTTTATTATTTTTTTTATTTTTACACTGATGGATACATGACACCTTACAAGTCCGGCAAACTTAGTACATTAAATGCTGCTTTAAGAAGATTGTCGTGGAGACAAGTGGAGCATTACTGGTACAGATGTAAATTTTGGGTTATCACCTGAATCAAGTCATTAAAATGTTGAATGAAGTCTGACACCAGAAACTCTATTCTGGGTACATGCATGAATATTTAGAGTGTTTATTATTGTTACCATTAACTTTAAGCCTGTATTTATTTTTAAAGGTGGTATATGAATTTCAGACACCGCGAAGTTTACTTTCTAAAACTTCAGCTGTATACCCAAATATGTACATGCACATGGACATTCGCGCTTGTATATATACATATTCATGAACACAAATATCCATTAATGCTGATCACTGCATATTTTGTCATGTCGGGGTTAATATTCTTCTCAATGCTTGGAATTGTGTATCAGCATGGTATATTATCATGTATTTGTAAAGTAGCTTTCCTCTTTTCATTTTCCATTTTCTCGAGAGTGATTTGTATGATCTCCCTTTCCAGATTTCTATCTGAAGAACATTAGAGAAGAGAAATGAAGAACTATTATAATTTTAACTCAAGCTTGTTTATATCTTCCATTATACGAAAAGTTGGCATGTATGTAAGGATACTTGAATTTAGAGGAATTTATCTGACAGTTCATCTTAATTTCTTCTCATTTTGTAAACCTTGTATTTTCTTCTATAAATCTAGGAGGAGTGCATGCAGCTATGGTTGGATCCTTGCACCCTACACCTATTGCTACACTTCCATTTCTCTCTCCACACTCTGCTGTTGTAGCTTTCTGTGAAGGGATTCTAAAGCATGCCACTGCATGGGAGGCACTGAGAGACGAACTTGCTGCTCAGAAGGCTGTAACAACAATTGAGGAGGTTAGGGAGCGGATGCGAAATGTGTTGTCTCTTACAGATGTTACACAGTTCCCAATTCCCAAAAATCCCGATGCTGTTATATTTGTTGCTGCTACTGTAAGTTAAATATATCTCACAGTTTACATTCCAAAAAAAATAAATTCATACCACTTTTCTATTTCAACATAATGTTACTTTTTCTATTTAAATATTCCATGTTTTTCTTGATCTCAAGTTTCATACTATTATGAAATCTTAGCTTGTAATGCTATAATATCATTACATATAGAAAGAATTTCCTTTGACTATGTCTTGTCTTTTAGTTCTCATAATTTTATTTTACGCTTTAATTGAAACAACTCTCTGGCTGTGTGTCCGTAAGGTAGGCCATGTAATAGGGTCACATTGACTTCTCCATTTAGCATGTATTATGTGTTTAGAATTCGAGCCATGATTGAAGGGCTGCAAGAAAAGGAATAGCAGACTCTTGTGATCATATTGGGAGTAAGCATTAAATTTAAAACTTGTACATGCCTGTGGTGACATGCTGATGAAGGTTAAGCTTAAATAAATAATTGCCTTCGTGCTCTAGCAACTTGAGATTTTAGACAAGGTGGTTCACATAAGATATGCAAACGTACTAAGTTCAAATTCTCACTGCAAACATTAATGAAAATTGTGCTCATGTTAGCCTTTGATTAGAATGAACCCTGTACATGAGGGGACATGTTGATAATTGAAATTTAAAGATATGAATGTGTTCCCATTAACAACCTAAACTTTTAAACGATTCAGTTCAGTAGATGCTTTTGCTTTCCCCTCTCCGAGGATCCTTCCATCAATCTTCTTGGATTCTTAAGGTAAACCGGATTCTTCATATAATACATTTAATTGTTTTAGGATGATGGCTACATCCCAAAGCACTCGGTAGTCGAGCTTCAAAAGGCTTGGCCAGGTTCGGAAGTGAGATGGGTTACTGGTGGCCATGTATCGTCTTTCCTTCTTCATAATGATGAGTTCCGCAGGGCAATTGTGGATGCACTCGACAGACTACAATGGAAAGAATCTCCTTTGTGACACTACTATAGCTTGTGAAGAAAGTGACCAAATAATTGATTCTGTAAGTCTTTCTTCATCTCTAATTCTTACTTGTATACTTGATTATAATGTATCTGTGATGAACAGAAGTGGTGCTGTAACATCTACTCTCTAATTGAAAATTCTTGGCAATCTCAATAGAGTTGTGTATTCATTTTTATAGTATCTTCTTCCTTTGAAATATGAGTTTGAAATGATTGAACATTTGCCATGATTTTATCAAGCCAAATGATTAAAATCAATGCGTAAAACAGTGAAGCCGTGAAGGTAGTGGTAGTTTGCCAAATCGTTTTAGAGCCTTGCTATCTACTATTATGTTATGAGATCCTTTGTCAAAACCTCCACCTGTGTATCGTAAAACGAAAAGTAATTAAAATCTTTTTCATTTTGTTGCCAAGTCCTTGTTTTGTCCATTTTGCTGTCGACTCACATGATAACTGAGCAAAAATTTGTCATTTTTTGTCAATGGGGATTGTTTGTACAATTATAATGAAAGGTTAGGGACTAATATTGCAATTTCTCTTATTTTATACTATACGTGTGCTTCCCCCCCCCCCCCCCTCCCTCTCTTTATGTGGGTTTGGAATTAAAGAAAAGAAATAGTAAAATCTACTTTTTAATAAATATATAAATGGAAACTGAGCCAAAAAGCATCTTTATGTTCACTTTTGATAAAGGTAGAAATAATGGCAGAAGAAAGTTGAATTAAAGGAGAATACAGATAGAAGAATAAAGGTTAAGCATCTTTACTACCATGTTTGTATACCCATAAGCTTTCTTTATTACTCACTGCATTTCCTTAAGCTCCACCCACGCTTAAAACGAGTGATCGTGATCGTCAAGAATTTAATTGCTTTAGATTTTTCAATAGCTGTAATAAGAAACTAAACATGACAAGAAGAAATTTATGTACCCAACCCAAAATTTATCGAGTACTCAGCCTATGCTTTGAATCTTCTAATTAACATGGTACTGGATTGTGCAACGAAAAAATTCGTCTAACCAACCTAAAATTTATTGTTAAAGCCTCTAATCCCGAAATTCTTGAAAGTTTATAAAAGAAGAGTTGAAAGGGTAAAAATTGCTGAATTTGTCACCAAACAAAACCCAAGAATCTCAAAAAGCAGAATGCTACAAATTTGAAGTCTAAAAAGTCTATTCTTGTCATCACAAATAGGGCATCAAACACCTGTTGTTATGCTTTTCCAATACTATGGCGCCAACTTCAGAAGCTACATAATAGAACTCAATTCCCTTTAAAGTCCTAGCACGTTCAACATCAAAAATAAAAAAAGAAACTGCACAAACTTGACATTGGCATCAGCATCAGCATCAGATTTTTTTGGCATAACTTCCTCATGAAGTTTACGATACAAGGCTCAAATCAGAAAAGGATATGAAGACTATCAACAAATTCAGCTAGTAAAATGATTTGCTTGCGGCTTTAATTATCAAAGCTGAAACTGTCTTTCAACAGACTCTCAAATTTCTCCTACGGCTATAAAAAACATTCTGCAGGAAATAGTTGTGAGATCAGTACATTGGAATTTACTCCAGCATTGAATATCTTGTTATTGGGTAGCAGAAAACACGTATAAACGTTGAGAGGATCACTCGACAAGCAAGAAAATGAACCCACAGGCATCTTCTAATCCACAGGATGAGTATAAAATTAAGGACACAAAACCCCAGCTCGGAGAGAGGTGGCCACATGGAGGAGTTCGAGGTGGAGGAGGGTGGATTAGTAGTGACAGGGTCACGAGTACTTATGATCTTGTCGAACAGATGTATTATCTTTATGTTCGAGTTGTGAGGGCAAAAGACTTGCCGACAAATCCACTGACGGGAAACTGCGATCCATATGTAAAAGTGAAACTTGGGAATTATAAAGGCAAGACGCATCATTTTGAGAAGAAAACAAACCCGGAGTGGAACCAAGTTTTCACGTTCTCGAAAGAGAAGATTCAGTCGTCGGTTCTTGAAGTCTTTGTTAGAGACAAAGCGATGGTTGCGAAAGACGACTATATAGGGAAGGTGGTTTTTGACATGAATGAAGTGCCTACTCGGGTTCCACCAGATAGCCCTTTGGCGCCTCAGTGGTATAGGCTAGAGGATCATCGAGGAGAAAGCAAGGTAAGAGGGGCAATCATGCTTGCAGTTTGGATGGGAACTCAAGCGGATGAAGCATTCCCAGAAGCATGGCATTCGGATGCTACTTCAGTTAAAGGAGAAGGCATTTTCAGCGTCCGAACAAAGGTCTACGTTTCGCCTAAATTGTGGTACCTCAGAGTCAATATAATCGAAGCACAAGATGTAAAATCTCAAGACAAAAGCCAACCCCCTCAAGTTTTTGCAAAAGCTCAAGTTGGAAATCAGATACTTAAGACCAACCTATGTCCAATCAGAACACCTAACCCGCTCTGGAACGAAGACCTTGTTTTCGTAGCAGCAGAGCCTTTTGAAGAGCAATTAGTAATCACTGTTGAAAATAAAACAGCTTCAAAGGATGAAGTTGTTGGGAGGATAAAATTGCAATTACGCGACTTTGAAAGACGACTGGATCACCGACCAGTTCATTCTCGGTGGTTTGACCTCGAGAAGCTCGGGTTTGGAGTTCTAGAGGGAGATAGGAGGAAGCAACACAAGTTTTCAACAAGGATTCATATCAGAGCCTGTCTTGAAGGTGGTTACCATGTATTAGATGAATCAACAATGTACATCAGCGATCAACGCCCTACTGCTAGGCAGTTATGGAAGCAGCCAATTGGAATCCTTGAAGTGGGAATCTTAAGTGCACAAGGGCTTCTCCCAATGAAGAAAAAGGACGGCAGAGAAAGCACAGATGCTTATTGTGTGGCAAAATACGGACTGAAATGGGTGAGAACGAGAACAATAGTTGAAAGCTTCAATCCCAAATGGAATGAGCAATATACTTGGGAGGTTTATGATCCCTGCACAGTGATCACACTGGGAGTTTTCGATAACTGCCACTTGGGAAGGAACGAGAAGCCGGAAAATGACTCGAGAATTGGAAAGGTAAGAATCAGATTATCCACGTTAGAAACAGACCGGATTTACACTCATTCTTATCCACTTCTTGTCCTGAACAAGTCTGGAGTCAAGAAGATGGGAGAACTCCAAATAGCATTCCGATTCACTTGTTTATCTCTAGCACACATGATATATCTTTACGGTCGTCCATTGCTGCCAAAAATGCATTATCTTCATCCTTTCACAGTAAACCAGTTGGACAGTTTGAGATTTCAGGCCATGAATATTGTAGCTTCAAGGCTTGGACGAGCCGAACCTCCATTGAGAAAAGAAGTCGTTGAATACATGCTGGATGTTGATTCCCACATGTGGAGCATGAGACGAAGCAAAGCCAACTTCTTCAGAATCGTTTCGCTCTTTTCAGGCCTATTCTCCTTAAGCAATTGGCTTGACGAAGTTTGTCATTGGAAGAAGCCCGTCACCACAATTCTTGTTCATGTCCTCTTTTGCATATTAATCTGCTATCCGGAATTAATCCCCCCGACTATGTTCCTTTACATGTTTCTGATCGGCTTATGGAATTACCGGTCGAGGCCAAGGCATCCTCCACACATGGACATTAGACTTTCTGGGGCTGACGCAGTACACCCCGATGAACTCGATGAAGAGTTCGACACTTTCCCAACATCCAAGCCTCAAGACATCATCCGCATGAGGTACGATAGACTTAGAAGTATCGCGGGAAGGATACAAACCGTGATTGGTGATATGGCGACACAGGGGGAGAGATTTCATGCTCTACTAGGCTGGAGAGATCCTAGAGCAACCAGCATATTCATAGTTATCTGCCTTTTTGCAGCAATTTTTCTTTACATAACACCTTTCAAAATAGTGACTTTGTTAGCTGGTTTGTATCTTCTAAGGCACCCAAGATTCAGAAGCAAAATGCCTTCACTCCCCAGCAATTACTTCCGAAGACTTCCCGCTCGAGCTGATAGCATGCTCTGAAAAGAAAGATGACACAAGTCTGTTACTATTATATGTTTTAAGCTAAATTTTCAAATTGTATCTTCAGAATTATCTGTTTCTGTGTGAATTTTTTTATCCTTGATCACCTAATATAACACTACTGCTCGAGCAGCAGTTGCACGCTAAGCGAGTGGCAACATCACTGCCCTGAACGCTCGAGCGGCAGCCTGGCTGTAAGCGAGCGACAGATCGACATGTGCGATTCTTCATGAAACAGGTTGATTTTTGGGTTGTTTCACTTCGTGTACACCTCAACCTCTAAAATTCATTCACATCCATTTTATGCATTCATAGAATATATCATGTAACATCAAAAGCATTGCCAAAATTCTACACAAAATCAGCCTTTGTTTTCCATTCAAAGGAGCTCAAAAACACTCATGGTTCTCCATTTCTCGTGATTTGTAGTGTTACAATCACTTGAAGTTGATTATTGTATCTTGGGAGATGTTTACCAATCCAACGACAGCACCTGTACGCGGCAATTTCGTTTTAAGGACAAAGAGTTCAATTCTTGCCTCTATTATTTTGCATTTCATTTTTTTGGTGTTATTTTGTCCGATCTTCCATTTGATTATGAGTAGGTACGGGTGGGTATTGATAAGTTTGTATTATTGCTAAAAAGGAGTCACTTGGTGCATTTAAAAACAACAATCTTGAGACGAAATTTTTTAATGATTTCTTTATTAAATTTCTATTTTACTCGCTTAAACTAAATTTCAGTTTAATTTTCCTACTCCTTGTGATCCTGTATGTGGTTGATCTTCTGCCCTTTTAAACAGAAATGATTTTTGTAAACAACATTGATGTTACTTCAAACGTGGTTACTTCGAATGAAGGTACTTCGGAAGTGGTTCTTCCAGTCATGGTTCCTTTTCGTTTTTGCCACGCGTTTTATGCAACGTGATTTATACCTCAAGTGTACTGTGTCAAGCTTTATAATATAGTTTTGAAATAAGAGCGTCGAACCCACATGGATTGTAATTTAATTTCTATCAAGTACTATAATTGGATAGCTTCTATTTTATCTAGACAAATGAAATTTGAAATCAACATTGTTACCTAATCTAATTATGATTTTCGTGACGAATTTAAGGGATGCAAATTATACGAATAAATCAAGATGGAGAAGCCTAGGGAATGATTTCACCTAACTATCAATTACAATTCAATTATGTTCAGTTATTCTAGTCAATTTTTCCATGTTTAAAAGAAAGAATCCTAATGTATTTCTCACCCCCTCTCTTGAGCGTCGGCTAGAAATTAATCCTAAATTTCAATTCCAATATCTCTATTCCGAATCAAAATAAAAAATTTATTTAAGTCTTGATTCTTTTATGAAGTAAGTTTCATATATTCTATAATTTCTCTTGAAACCCATAAAACCTATGTTATGTCAATCCTATGATGGTGCCTAAATTTGCCTCTCTCGAGCGTCGGAATTTAAAACATCAAATCATTCAATTAGTGGCCAATTAATTGAAAGCATTAAAATCAAGATACAATTAAACATATGTGGAAAATTAAATAAAAGTAGCTATAACATAATCAGACCAGCTACAATCAAACCCTAGAATATGAATTTAGCTCATGATATAATCTATGGAAACACAAAAATTTATGTAAGAAAACAAAAGAAAGATAGTAGAAAAAACTAGGATATAGATATTCAATTTCTTCCCTTTATGTTGTTCTTCCCTCCCTTGATTCCTTCTTTGAATTGTAATTGAATCCTTTTGAATTGTCTTCAATCTTAGCCCCTCAATTGTTGTGTTTGGCCCCTTCCATATTCTTGAAAATAGGATTTTTTGAATGGTATTTATAGTATGTTGGGGGTCTTGGACGAATTAGGGTTGAATTGAGCCAAGAAAAGAGTCCAAACACATAAAAATGTGTTTTCCCACGTATCCGACGCCTCGGTGCCCAAAATGGGTGTTGCGGAGCCGAGTTTGCTATTATTTTCACGAGGGCACCCCATTCTGTCGAAAACGACAAACTGCGCGTCCTTCAGTATTTTTAGCATAACTTTCTCATCCGATGTCCGATTGAGATGATTCAAGATACGTTGGAAATTTAACTCAAAGGACTACTTTGCTTTAGAATCATTCTCCACTTCGATCATTTACTTTGTCAGAAATGGGTCTGAATATGAAGCTGAAATTTTGGAGCATAACTTTTGAGTTGGAAATTGATTTGTGATCATATTTTGCCTAAATTTGATCACTTTGACATCTTTCTTCATCCAATTGACTCCTAACACTCTCGGATCTTCATCGTGGGTTTGACACAACTTTTGAGTATTTTCACTTTAGTCCCCGAACTTTGGATCTCTTACAATTTGACTTTCTCTCCAATTTCGTCAACTTTTGCTTATTTCATTCAATTTCATTAACCTATATCATAATATCAAAACACATATTAAAATGTTCTAAAACACTCTCAATGGTAGCAAAATAATGAATTAAGTGGTACAAATATAATGAGTATGGAGCACTCATCAGTTTTGATTTCTCATGTTGCGGTTTCCCCTCTTACCATTCATCAAATCTCCATTTCACATGGAGAAAAATTGGAAAAATTTAGTGGGGTTGATTTTAAGAGATGTCAATAGAAAATGTTGTTCGATCTTACAATACTAAACTTGACAAAAATTTTAAATGAGAATGCTCCTACCATATAAGGAAAAACGATAGGGCATCATTGATCGCATTGGATGCTTGGAAATATGCGAATTTTCTATGCAAGAACTATATTCTAAATGGCTTGGACAACACGTTGTAAAAAGTAGATAGTTCTATGAAATCTACAAAGGAACTTTGGGAATCCTTGATAAAAAAAAATATAAGACTGAAGATGTCGGAACAAAGAAGCTCATCGTCGAAAAATTCTTAGATTATAAGATGATAAATTCCAAGACAGTTATTAGTCAAGTACAAGAGTTGCAAGTTATTTTCCATGATATTCGTGTCGAGAACATGTCTTTAAGTGAATCCTTTTAAGTGGATGCAATTTCGAGAAATTTTCACCCATGTGGAAGGATTTCAAAAATTATCTCAAGCAGAAGTGTAAGGAGATGAATATTGAAGAACTCACTTATCATCCAATTGAGAATTCAAGAGGACAACAAAAAGTCAGATGATAAGTGTGTTTTTACACACTTATTTAGCTCACAAATATGACTTAAACATGGACAAAGTAGTTGAATTGTGACTTAATCTCGTTAAATTCATGCAATGTAGGTGTTTCTATGGAAAAGATGGAATTCAGAAGAAAAGAACCGAAAAAGGACCAAAACGAAACAAAGCGATAGTTCGGGGACCAAAGGTGCAAATATTGGAAAGTTGAGCTAAAGTATAGAACGAGAATGAAAATATGCCAAGTATGAGATTGAGGATGATACAAGACAATCGGAGGAAGAAAGAAGTAATATTGGACTGAATTGAAGAAAAGTGAAAGATGAAGGACTAAATTACAATTAATCAAAAGATGAGCCGAGCAAGTGATCAAGGAATTGGTTGACCCAAACATCAATTAGGAGTTAATATTTGATGATGGAAAAAAGGAAATAAAGAAAAGAGATCAAGAAAAGAGAAAACGAAGTTCAGGGACCAAAATAGCAAGGTTGTAAAGTTACAACCATGCGGCCGCACAGAACTATGCCATGCGGCCGCACATAAGGTTGCGGGGATTTCATTAAGTTAGATTACTTGAACCATGCGGCCGCACAGAACTATGTCATGCGACCGCACATAGGGTTGCAGGGATTTCATTGAGTTAGATTACTTGAACCATGCGATTGCATGGTTTAACACCGTGTGGTCACATGGCTTTAAAAGTCGAAGAAAATTCTAAATTTGCGTTTTTAATTAAAACTCTTTCGGGGCTTCGTGAGGACATGATATAAAAGCCAAAATTCATCTGAAATAGGGTAGAACGTCCAGGGAGAAGAAAAATATAACTTTTGGAGGCAAGAAACACGATCTTGAAGCCGATTCCACAAGAATTCAAGCGGGTTTTCAAGGCTTTATTCAAGATTTCAAGAAATTTTCATACGGGTGCTATTCTTTCTATTTATTAATTTCTTATTTTTTCTATAATTATGAATATTCTAGGCTAGGTTTTTAATTCATTAGGTGATCGATGAACCATTGTTTGTTATTTTAATTCCATATTTCATGAATTTAATATAAAGACTCGTTTGGATAATTTGATTGGTTTATATGCATTGATTTTCTTCCGCAATTAGTGGCCAATGATTGTGTGAGTGTTGATGACTTATTTCTTACATTCGAGAGAAGTGGAATAGGTTCGATAAGGTGTAAATCAACATAGGATCCGATAGGAGATAGATATATACCCCTATTCTTTATGCAATTCTTTAATTGTTCACAAAATCACATGCATTTTTGTTTATTTGCGTCATCCATAGAGATATAGGCTGGTGGTGTGCAAGAATAGGTCTAATATATATCGAGAGAATATATTGGATAGAATTAGGAACATTGAATTGGCAAATTTCCATCGGGTCATTGATTTTATGAAATTAGGGTTTTCATAACTTCAATTGGGGATTCGTGATTCTAGTGACTTTATTTTGATTCATTTCCATAAATTAGTTTTTGAATTTGCATAATTTCATTTACTCGAGTGTTTGAGTCGTTTAATTAGAGAAATTTCGAAATTAGGGTTTCTAATTGAGAAATTAGGGTTTTTAATTGAAATTAGGGTTTTTTTGCATTTGGACCATATTTTCACTCAATTAGATTCGGTTAAGGCTAGATTATATAGAATTGAACTACTCAATCTCTGAGAGATGATATTCGGACTTTTAAAAATCCACTTTATTACTTGTTACAATCCGTACACTTGCAATAGTTTTAAATCGAAAGAATTATTTCGTGAACATCAGACAAGCGAAAAAGAAGTCATATATCACAAATAAAGGCTAATGTAGTGGAAATCAATGCTAAGAACAAAAGAGAGAGCATTTCATCGAATCCCTCAAGCAAGAACATAAGAATGCAAAGAAGTTCAAGCACAATTACAACTGTAGAAAGGCTAGATATCGCTCCAATGAATGTCGCAAACCAAAGTTGTGAGCTTAAGCGAATATCACTAAATTTGATACGTTATTTGGTGGAATATATGATATTAACTTGTCAGCAATTGATTAAGAGTGTAACAATATTGGAAATCCCTTGGAATGGTAGGTGGACATGGCTATTACTCGTCACA